TATGTTTTATTTATTTATTTTATTTATCGTGTCATCCATACCATTGTATTACATTTCTAACAGAACGAAACAGAAAGACAGATAAAAAACACAGATTTTGCAAGTTTGGTAGTTGATTAAATGTCCTTTGACCGGTATCTGGCCACTTGGAGTGCCTCTGGTGTTGCTGCAAGAAGGTCCTCCATTGTGCATGTGGCAGGGCTCAGGGTGCATTGCAGCAGGTGGTCAGTGGTTTGCTCTTCTCCACACTCGCATGTCGTGGGTTCCACTTTGTAGCCCCATTTCTTAAGGTTGGCTCTGCATCTCGTGGTGCCAGAGCGCAGTCTGTTCAGCGCCTTCCAAGTCGCCCAGTCCTCTGTGTGCCCAGGGGGGAGTCTCTCATTTGGTATCAGCCATTGGTTGAGGTTCTGGTTTGAGCCTGCCACTTTTGGACTCTCACTTGCTGAGGTGTTCCAGCGAGTGTTGTTGCAGATCTTAGAAAACTATGTCTAGATTTAAGTCGTTGGCGTGCTGGCTGATACCCAATCAGAGGATGAGCTGGAGATGTCTCTGCCTTGGTCCTTTCACTATTGGCTGCGACTTCCCGGCGGATGTCAGGTGGTGCAATACCGGCTAAGCAGTGTAATTTCTCCAGTGGTGTAGGGCGCAGACACCCCGTGATAATGCGGCATGTCTCATTAAGAGCCACATCCACTGTTTTAGCGTGGTGAGATGTGTTCCACAGTGGTGTAGGGCGCAGGCACCCCGTGATAATGCGGGGTGTGGTGCTGGGTAAAAAGATGTGAAAAGATGTGCTAGAGTGCAACAGTGGAAGTCGGGTCTTCCTGCCTGAAAAGGGTGGGACTGGATGGCCTTGGGGGGGGTTCACACAACTCTATGATAGATCTCTCTCAACCGTTATCTCTCTCTCAATCACATCCTATGGCTAGATGGCCCTCTGTCGGGAGGATTTTGATGTCTTCCCTGTGTGAAATGGGGGGACGGGGACTGGATGTCCTTTGGGGTCCTTTGCTCTTCCTTCCCCCCCCCCTCCCCCCCAAATCAGGCCCAAGGCTTTTAACCCAAAATATCTTTATTGCTGCTCTTGGTACAAAAAATTTCCAAAACAAAACAAGATGAGGAAGAGGAGCAGTGGGTTCGGTTCTGGGTCTCAGTGCCGTGAATGAGTCCGCCTTCCTTCCCATAGACTTGGCTGGGAGGAAGGGGCCACGATCCACACATCGAAACAAAAAGGAGAGGCACTCTCTCGCACCACCATTCTCTTGCATCGCACTCACGCAGGGACTAAGTGATTATATTACCGTGGTCGTTATTCATAATATTAATATCAATAATAATAACAATAATAATAAAGGAGGGAGCACCGTAAAGGACAAGGCGGATGCGTCCTGCCCGCCAAGCACCTCCTCTGCTTGTTTATGGAGGGAGGATTTTCAAGTCTTTTTTTTTAAAAGGACGGGAAGATAGAGCCCCCAAAACAACCCCCAAGTACTCTTTTGCCCTTCGAAGATTTTGGGGGATTGGGAAGAAGGAGCCAGGAAAAGAGAAGCAAGAAAAGCCAAATGAAGTTCCCCAGCTGAGCCAGTGGGGGGCGGACCCCCAATTAGGGTCTCAAAAGCAAGGGGGCCCTTTAGGAAGGTGGCTATGAGTTGGATGCTCCCATTTTTTGGGGGCGGGGGGCTAAACACCCTCGCCAACATTACGGCATGGATTGCAGGGATCCTTGCAGAGTTCCGTTGATGATAATCACAGCACAAGGTTCTTGTGGGTTTTTTCGGGCTATAGGGCCATGTTCTAGAGGCATTTCTCCTGACGTTTCGCCTGCATCTATGGCAAGCATCCTCAGAGGTAGTGAGGTCTGTTGGAATAGGACAATGGGTTTATATATCTGTGGAATGGCTGGGGTGGGGCAAGTAGCTCTTCCCTGCTGGAGCTAGGTGTGAATGTTTCAACTGACCACCTTCATTAGCATTTGAAGGCCCTGCCTGAGCCTGGGAAAATATTTTGAGAGGTGTTAAGATGTGCCTGGTTTGTTATCTTTATTAATTTAAGTTTGGTCTCCCCTATATCTTTTTCTTTACGAAGTTTTCGTCCTGTTCTATTTTTTTTTTTAGTAGGTACTAATTTCTCTTTTTTTTTAAGCTTTTTTAAGTTATTTAGGTTTTATTTTGCATTTGTTAGTTTTTTCTTGTTTTTGTGGATTTAAAAGTGTATTCTGTTTTTTGTCTTGTGTTTTTGTTTTCTAACTATTATTAAGATGTTTTTTTTTTTTTTTAGAAGTTGAAGTTAGTTGAAGTTGAGCTTTTAATTATGCAGTATGTTTTTTTCATTTATTTTATAAATATTTATTTATACAGCTTTCTTTGTTTTTTCTTATTTTTTTTTTTTTTTCTATTTTTTATTTATTTATAATATTCTTCTTTTATTTGTTTAATAAGTTTAAGATCTTTAAGTTAGTTTTTTTTTTAAGTTTTTTTTAGTTTTAATATTTTTTTTTTAAGACTGCATTTTAATATATTACTTTTATATTGTTTTACTGTATGAATGTTTTTGTCTATGGAGATAGGTGTGAATGTTTTTATTGGCATTTGGAAGCTGGCTGAGCCTGGGAAAGTCTTTTGTTGAGGTGTTAAGATGTGCCTGGTTGTTTCCTCTCTGCTGTTTTGCTGTTGTAATTTTAGAGTTTTTTAATACTGGTAGCCAGATTTTGTTCATTTCAATCACAACACAGTCGACACACAGAGAGACCCTGCCATTTGATGTTGAAGGCTTTCCTGGCTGGAATCACTGGGTTGCGGCGAGTTTTCCAGGCTGTATAACCAATGTGTTCCAGCAGCATTCTCTCCTGATCTTTCATCTGCATCCATGGCTAATGGCATCTTCAGAGGTCTATTGGAAATAAGGCCAGTGGAGTGTATATATATCTGTGGAATAATGTCCAAAGTGGGAGAAAGAACCCTTGTCTGTTTAAAACAGGTCTGAGCCAACTTCGGCCCTCCTTCCAGGTGTTTTCTTCATCCAAAATGCTTGGGACAAAAAACATTTTTGATTTTGGGTGGATTGTTGTAGGTTTTTCCGGGCTATATGGCCATGTTCTGGAGGCAAATTTTCTCCTGACATTTCGCCTGCATCTATGGCAAGCATCCTCAGAGGTAGTGAGACCTCACTACCTCTGAGGATGCTTGCCATAGATACAGGCGAAACATCAGGAGAAAAACTGCCTCCAGAACATGCCCATATAGCCTGGAAAAACCTACAACAACCCAGTGATCCCGGCCATGAAAGCCTTCGACAATAAGTTGGTAGGCTGTTAGGGATTGTAGGAGCTGGAGTCCAAAACACCTGGAGGGAGGACTGAAGTTGGCCCATACCTTTGAGGGATCATCTGCATACCCATGTAGTGGGAGTTAGAATCATAGAGTTGGAAGAGACCTCATGGGCCATCCAGTCCAACCCCCTGCCAAGAAGCAGGAAAAATGCATTCAAAGCATCCCTGATAGATGGCCATCCAGTCTCTGTTTAAAAGCTTCCAAAGAAGGAGCCTCCACCACACCCCGGGGCAGAGAGTTCCACTGCTGAACGGCTCTCATAATCAGGAAGTTCTTCCTCATGTTCAAATGGAATCTCCTTTCTTGTAGTTTGAAGCCACTGTTCCACGTTGTTTCTGCTCCAGGGGAAACAAGCTTGCTTCCTCCTTCCTATGTCTTCCTCTCACATATTTATACACGGCTATCATGTTTCCTCTCAGCCTTCTTTTCTTCAGGCTAAACATGCCCAGCTCTTTAAGCCGCTCCTCATAGGGATTGTTCTCCAGACCCTTGATCATTTTAGTCACCCTCCTCTGGACACATTCCAGCTTGTCAACATCTCCCTTCAATTGTGGTGCCCAGAATTGGACAGTGTGATTCCAGGTATGGTCTGATCAAGGCAGAATAGAGGGGTAGCATGACTTCCCTGGATCTAGACACTAGGCTCCTATTGATGCAAGCCAAAATCCTACTGGCTTTTTTTAGCTCCAGCATCACATTGTTGGCTCATGTTTAACTTGTTGTCCACGAGAACTCCAAGATCTTTTTCACACGTACTTCTCTAGCCATGCGTCCCTCATTCTGTATATTTGCATTTCATTTTTTCTGCCTAAGTGGAGTATCTTGCATTTGTCCCTGTTGAACTTCATTTTGTTAGTTTTGGCCAATCATCGCTCTAATCTGTTAAGATGGCTTTGAATTCTGCTCCTGTCTTCTTGAGTATTGGCTATCCCTCCCAATTTGGTGTCGCCTGCAACTTTGTCTAACCCTTCGTCTAAGTCACTAATCAAGATCCTGAGTAGGACCAGGCGCAGAACAGAACCCTGCTTATGGCACTCCGCTCGTCACTTCTTTCCAGGATGAAGAGGAAGCATTGGTGAGAACCCTCTGGGTTCGTCCGCTTAACCAATTACAGATCCACCTAACCGTAGTTTTGCCTAGCCCACATCAGACTAGTTTGTTTGCCAGAAGGTCGTGGGAGACCTTGTCGAAGGCCTTACTGAAATCCAGGTACGCTACATCCACGGCATTCCCCGCATCTACCCAGCTTGTAACTCTATCGAAAAAAGAGATCAGATTAGTCTGGCATGACTTGTTTCTGATAAATCCATGTTGACTATTAGTGATGACCGCATTCATTTCTAAGTGTTTGCAGGCTACTTCCTTAACTATCTTTTCCAGAATCTTTCCTGGTATCGACGTGAGGCTGACCGGACAGTAATTGTTTGGGTCATCCTTTTTTCCCTTCTTTAAGATTGGGACCACATTGGCCCTCCAAGAACTCTCAAAGATGACTGTCAATGATTCCGATATGACTTCTGCTAGTTCCTTCAATACTCTTGGGTGTAGTTGATCTGGCCCTGAGAACCTGAACTCGAGTGGCCAGGTACTCCTGGGTGACTTGTATCCCAATTTGGGGTTGGATGTCCTCTAATCCCTCATCCACTCCATCTTGCTGAGGTTGAAGATGACTTTCTTTTTGTGAGAAGACCGAGGCAAAGAAGGTATTAAGTAGTTCTGCCTTTTCCCTATCCCCTGTCAGCATTGCCCCATCTACTTCTCGAAGAGGCCCTATTGCCTCCTTGTTTTTCCTTTTTCTACTAACATAAGAAAAGAAGCCCTTTCTATTGTTTTTAATGTCCCTGGCAAGCCTGAGCTCGTTTTGTGCTTTAGACCTGCGAACCTTTTCCCTACAGGAGTTGGCTATTTGTTTGAATTTTACTTTGGTGATTTCTCCCCTTTTCCACTTCTTGTGCATGTCTTTTTTGAGTCTTAGCACAGTTAGAAGTTCTTTGGACATCCATTCTGGCTTCTTTGCACTTGTCCTATTTTTTCTCTTTGTTGGCACTCTTGAAAAACTCCCATCTGTCTGTAACTGCCTTGTCTTTTAGTATCTGTGTCCACAGAATGCTGCTCAGTATTTCCTTCATTTTTTTGAAATCAGCTCTCCTAAAGTCCAAAATGCAGATTTGACTTGTCTTAGTTTTGGCCTTCCTTTGGACCTCAAACTTCAGGAGCACATGGTCACTTGCCCCTAAGGATCCAACCACTTCAACTGCATCAATCAGGTCCTCCGCATTTGTTAGGATGAGATCGAGAGTAGCCGACCCCCTTGTTGCCTCTTCTACCTTCTGGATCATGAAATTGTCTGCAGGGCAAGCAAGGAATTTGTTGGACTTTGTACTCTTGGCCGAGTTTGTTTTCCAGCAAATATCGGGATAGTTGAAATTGCCCATGACTACTATATCTCTTCTTTGTGCCTGTTTGGTGACCTGTTGGCAGAAGACTTCATCAAGTTCTTCATCCTGGCTTGGCGGTCTGCAGTAGACGCCTACAACAAGATCTTTTTGAGTCCCAGTTCCCTTGATTCTCATTCAGATGCTTTCAAGCTGGTTTCCCGGATTGCTGTCTTGCATCTCTTCTGCAGCGTAACAGTTTTTGTCCAGTTAAAGTCCAGAACACCTGGAGGGCCCAAGTTTGTCCATGCCTGGTTTAGAGCCAGTGTGAATGTTGAAGTCCAAAACACCTGGAGGGCTCAATTTCCCCATGCCTGGTTTAGAGCCAGTGTGAATGTTATCATTAGCCACCTTGTGTTAGCACTGGAGTAGCCATGAAGTTTGCAGAGTCAATCAGTGAGAGTACTTGCATATAGGTAGCCCGGCTTCTGTTGCCTGGAGGCACCCTCTGTTATGTCAGACTACGCAGAGAAGCCATTGAAATCCACTAGAAGCACATGAACCATTTCAATGGAAAGGAGGAAACCATGAAAATGAACAACATCTAGCTACCAGTATTTTAAAAATGCCAGAATCAAAACAGTAAATAAAGGACAACACTCAAAAAATGGGAACTCCAGACAGGAAGCAATCAAGGGCCAGTGAACACCTCCCAAACAGAATGCCTCTAGGCAACAGAAGCTAGGATACCTCTATGCAGATTCCTGCATTGATTTGACTTTGCAAACTTCATGACAACTCAAATGCTAATTTAAGCTCAAATGCTAATTGTAACATTCACACTTGCTTCAAGGTTTTTTTTCTCCCACCCTGGACATTATACTCCACAGGGATATATCTACACTCCACTTGCCTCGCTGGCAACAGATCATCTGAAGATGCGATTAGCTGCAGATGCAGGCGAAACGTCAGGAGGGAATGCTACTGGAACGTGGCCAGACAGCCTAAAAACCTCATGGAGCATTTCCTAATGCGATGAGGTCCCTGGGCTTTGGACTGGGCTAAATGTCCCGATAAAGGAGGGAGCAAAGAGATGGGGAACAGCAAAGGAGGAGGAGGCGGGAAGGGGTTTTCCCTGTCTGATGAGATCAAAAGATTGGGAAATGGCCATGGGGAATGGAGGAGAGGCGTTGGCTTCGGGGTCTGTTTCCTCGCCCGATCTGGAGAGTCCAGAGGCGGGAGGAAGGAAGAGCGGAGCAGGGCTGGGAGGAAGGAAGGAAGGTAGTAGGGTCCCCCACCGTGCTAGAAGAGGTGGATGTGCAGCCGCAGCCGCAGGGTGCCCCCCATCTCCGGGGCCCGTTCCCGCAGTTCACTCCGGCGGAAGAGGGGCCGGCTGGACACTTCCAGGCGGTAGGTACCCGGTGGGGGGAGGATCCGCTTCTGGGGGGCCAGGAGCAGCAGGCTGCGGCCCCCCTTCTCCTGGATGCCGAAGAGCCCCTCCTCGCCCCCGCTGGAGATCACATAGCGCAGACGGCCCTCCAGTGGGGCCAGGGCCGGCAGCAGAGCCAGCAGGGGCTCCCCGGCCCCCAGGCGAGAGAGGTTCAGCCACAGCCCCAGCGGGGAGCCCACGTCCAGGCTGGCCAGGCTCAGCACGTCCTCCCTCTCCTGGTCCCGGTCCTGGTCCTGTCCAGAAGAGAAGAGAAGAGGCGGTCAGCGGGAAGGGGGCCATTGGAAACACCCACCCTTGGAGTCTAGTAAGTCATGCTTCCAAGATGCACACACTTCAAGGTGTGCCCGGAAAGGTCACCTCCCTTTTCCTCCTCTTCATTGTGCCTTCATTTGAGAAAGGAGCCTCAGGAGGCCTCTCTGCTGGAAGGGAAAAAGCCTCAACACTTGGAATGGATGGAGCCACTGGGGACAGAGGGAGCCCCACTGGAATGTAGGCCTGCTGCCTTGCTTTTCGCCTCTGTTTCCTAGAATTGTGCACTTCAAGGTGTGTGGCTTCTGACCTGCCTGGAGAAGCCATTTCTCCCTTCCTCTTCTCATCAAAGGCCTTTCTTTCATGTGCCTACATTTGAGAAAGGAGCCTCACGAGGCCTCTTTCGAAGGAAAGGAGCCTCAACACTTGGAGTAAATGGAGTCATTGGGGACACACAGAGATCAACTATAATGCAGGCCTGCTGCCTTGCCTTTCACCTGTTTCCTAGGGATGTGCACTTCAAAGTGTGTGGCTTCTGACCTGCCTTTCTCCTTATCAAAGTCCTTTCTTTAATGAGCCTACATTTGACAAAGGAGCCTCACGAGGCCTCTCTCTATTAGAAGGAGCCTCAACACTTGGAGGAAATCAGTGCTTCCTGGCCTTGTTTTGACCAGGGACTAATTGACCAGGGACCTCTTTGACCAGGGACAACTCTCCAACATTAGCACCAAAAGGGTTACAAATCAGTTTTTGGTCAACTTTAGATTCGGTTTGGTTATTTGGAGTGCTGATTCAGAAAATCGCATTGGATGGAACACATCAACTCTTGTTTCTGGTATGGAACATATGCTACCCAGTAGAATCATAGAATCATTGAATCAAAGAGTTGGAAGAGACCTCATGGGCCATCCAGTCCAACCCCCTGCCAAGAAGCAGGAATATTGCATTCAAATCACCCCTGACAGATGGCCATCCAGCCTCTGTTTAAAAGCTTCCAAAGAAGGAGCCTCCACCACACTCCGGGGCAGAGAGTTCCACTGCTGAATGGCTCTCACAGTCAGGAAGTTCTTCCTCATGTTCAGATGGAATCTCCGTTCTTGTAGTTTGAAGCCATTGTTCTGCGTCCTAGTCTCCAGGGAAGCAGAAAACAAGCTTGCTCCCTCCTCCCTGTGGCTTCCTCTCACATATTTATACATGGCTATCATATCTCCTCTCAGCCTTCTCTTCTTCAGGCTAAACATGCCCAGCTCCTTAAGCCGCTCCTTTTAGGGCTTGTTCTCCAGACCCTTGATCATTTTAGTCGCCCTCCTCTGGAGACATTCCAGCTTGTCAATATCTCTCTTGAATTGTGGTGCCCAGAATTGGACACAATATTCCAGGTGTGGTCTAACCAAAGCGGAATAGAGGGGTAGCATTACTTCCCTAGATCTAGACACTATGCTCCTATTGATGCAGGCCAAAATCCCATTGGCTTTTTTTGCCGCCACATCACATTGTTGGCTCATGTTTAACTTGTTGTCCACGAGTACTCCAAGATCTTTTTCACACGTACTGCTCTCGAGCCAGGCGTCCCCATTCTGTATCTTTGCATTTTGTTTTCTGCCAAAGTGGAGTATCTTGCATTTGTCCCCGTTGAACTTCATTTTGTTAGTTTTGGCTCGTCTCTCTAATCTGTCAAGATCGTTTTGAATCATGCTCCTGTCCTCTGGAGTATTGGCTATCCCTCCCAATTTGGTGTCATCTGCAAACTTGATGATCCTGCCTTCTAACCCTTCGTCTAAGTCATTAATAAAGATGTTGAACAGGACCGGGCCCAGGACAGAACCCTGCGGCACTCTGCTCGTCACTTCTTTCCAGGATGAAGAGGAAGCATTGGTGAGCACCCTCTGGGTTCGTCCATTTAACCAATTACAGATTCACCTCACCGTAGTTTTGTTTAGCCCACATTGGACTAGTTTGTTTGCCAGAAGGTCGTGTCAAACATTTGCTCACTGACAGAAAACCATATTTAAGGAAAAGAAGAGAGGAAAAGAAATTGGCAGGCGCAAAGATTCAAGGGCAAGAATATAAAATTCGGGCATATGCGGACGACGTGATCTGTGTAATTGAGGACCCCAAAAATAACTTAGAGGAATGGATAAAAACAATAAAAGAATTTGGGAAAGTCTCGGGCTTCAAAATCAACATGGAAAAAACAAAGGCAATAACTAAGAATATTGAGAAAAAAGATCAAGAAGAAATAAAAAACAAATGGAATATACAAATAGTCAAAAAGTTGAAGTACTTAGGGATAATATTAACGTCGAAAAATCTACAATTACTACAAAATAACTATACAGAGAATTGGAAGGAGATAAAGAAAGAGATGGAAAGGTGGAAAAATCTAAACCTATCACTGTTAGGGCGGATTGCAACGGTTAAGATGATGATACTGCCAAATTGTTATTTTTATTTCAAAATCTACTGATTGTCCGAAACCAAAAAATAATAAAGGAATGGAATAAAGACATTAAAAAAATTATTTGGAAAAATAAAAAACCGAGAATTAATTTTGATAATTTGACGGAAAGGAAAGAAAATGGAGGACTAGCAGTGCCAGACCTCGAGCTATACATGGAAGCGAATGCACTAATTTGGGCCAAGGACTGGGCGAAACTAGAAAAGAAGAAGCTATTGATATTGGAGGGGTCAGATCTAAGAGAAGGCTGGCACACCTATATATAGTACAAGGGGAAGAAGAATGAGAAGAACTTCGGGAATCATTTTAGAAGATCTACGGTTTTGAATATATGGGAGAAATATAAAGACAGATTGTGCAACAAAACCCCAATGTGGGTTTCTCCCCTGGAAGCTGGACAAAGGAGGTGTACAGGATGGCATGAATGGGTAAAGTATAAAGACCTACTAAAAAAAGAGGGAGGAAATCTGACTCTAAAATCACAGGAAGAATTAAACACGGTGGACCAAAAGGTATCACGGCTAGAATACTGGAGTATCAAAGAAAAGTACAAAAATGACAAAAAGATTGGCTTTAGTCAAGAAAAAAACTTCTGGGATAAGATATTGGACTCAAGAAACAAATTAATAACAAAGATATACAAAAAACTGTTGGAGTGGAAATTGGAAGCTAAAGGAGAAAAAAACTACAAAAGAAGATGGAATGAAAATATAAGAAGGAATATAAGACAGGAAGAATGGGAAAAAGTCTGGAGGGAAAAACTAAAGTATTGTTACGCCACTGATTTGAAAGAAAATTGGTTAAAGACAGCACACCGCTGGTATATGACCCCCCAAAAAATAGGTAAAGGGAATAAAAATTTCAGTACAGATTGCTGGAAATGTAAGGAAGAAGAGGGGTCATATTTCCATATTTGGTGGACGTGTAAAAAGGCAAAGGAATATTGGAGAAAGGTACAAAAAGAATTGCAAGACATCTTAAAGATTAACATACCATGGAAGGCGGAATTTTTTTTATTGGGGATGCATGATCTAAAAATAGAGAAAAACACAGACAAAATTTTATTTTTAATAACAACCGCAGCAAGAATCTGCTACGCTAGAAGGTGGAAACAAAAGGAGATACCGGACGAGAACGAAAGATTAACCAAAATTTTAGAAATAAAAAATATGGACAGGCTCACCTTTCTAATATCAAGAAGTAAAGGGATGAACATGAAGGAAACACACTGGGAAGAAGTGATGGACTACTTCAGACAAAAAAACAAGAAGATTCTGATCTAGATAAGAAAGAGATGGAGAGAAAGAAGAGAAGGAGAAAGAAGTTGAGGAGATAAGAGTTCGAAAGGAAGGGAAGAAAGAAGATTGAATAGACCTTAAGAAGACCCCGGGAAGTCAACAACCTCTATTACTCCAGCTTTTAAAGAGGTGGTGGGCTTTATTTATTTTTCTTATATATATATATATATATATATATATATATATATATATATATATATATATTCTCTCTCTCTCTGTTTCTTTTTATACCTCACAACTCTTCGGGTGTTTCTGTTAATTGTTACTCCACGGATTTCCTTTCTTTCTTTTTTTTAAAATGTAAATTGGAAACTTAATAAAGATTATATATATATAGAAAACCATATTTAAAAACAATCGGCACTATAAGGGGGCTTTGAGAGACCTGTCGCTCTTGTTGCAATGGTGTAGTAAAAATGAAGTAACAGACCATATCTTAGTTCTTGGAGACTATTGGTGGTACATGGACCACAGGTTGGGAATCACTGGAGTAGATGGAGCCATTGGGGACAGAGGGAGCCCCACTATAATGCAGGCCCCACTATATTGCAGGCCTGCTGCCTTGTTTTCACCTCTGTTTCCTGGGCCTCTGCATTTTCTATCTGCACTTTCACCTCCTCCTTCCTCCTCCTCTTTAGAGTGCCTTCATTGGAAGGAAAGGAGCCGCAACCCTTGTAGCAGATGGAGCCAGGCCTGTTGCCTTGCTTTTCCCCTCTGTTTCCTAGGTCTGTGGCCTTCAAGGTGTTTGGCTTCCTTCCTGCCTGGAGAGCTCTCTTCCCCCTTCTCCTTCTCCTTCTTCTCATCAAAAGGCTTTTTTAGTGTTCCTTCAATGCTCTTTATTTGAGAAAGGAGCCTTGCAAGGCTCGTCTCTATTGCAAGGAGCCTCAACACTTGTAGTAGATGGAGCCAGGCCTCTGGGAGTCCGTACAACACCTCTGAAGCTATATCTAGCTCATATTTATGCACACCTCCACAAAGGGACCATCCCTGAGTTGCAGACACCTGATTTATGAGCAACTCCTGGCTGAGAGGGGCGCCACGTACCTGTTGTATAAGGGTATTGTTAGGGCTGCGACGGTGGCGGCCCCTCTTGGGGAACCCGTTGAGCTTGCACTCATAGCAGGCCTCCGGGGACAAGAGGTTCTCCTCCTCTTCCTCCTCCTCTTCACCCTCGGCTTCCTTGCCAAAGCCCAGGCCCGAGATGCAGTGCCTGCGGAAACATGGTGGAAATACACACACATCATCATTCTGTATTCACTTGAATCTCGTGCTCACCTTACGTACACATTCAACTTAAGAACTAACCTACAAGACCTCTCTTGCTCGTAACTTCTGGGCTGTCAATGTGTGTGCATGTGTGACTGGAGTTAGAGAATGTCCCTGTTCCAACTTACATACAGATTCAACTTAAGAACCAACCTACAGTGGATAGAAGTGATTTTAACGTTTGTATATATTTATGGATTTATGTCATGGCCTTGAATGTTTGCCATATACTGTATATGTTGTCCCCTGTGGGGTGAGAAGGGCGGAATATTATTTATTTATTTATTTATTTACCTTACTTATATACCGCTGTTCTCAGCCCGAAGGCGACTCACAGCGGTTCACAACAAATACGAACAGCAAAAATTCAGTGCTACAGTATAGAAACAGTTAACAACCTAACACATTACACAATTAATAAACAGTTACTACAATACCCATTCACTGTCGTCTCGTCATCAAAAACATGTTCCAGATTCGTCATCCATTGTTCCATTCCAGTGTTCTTTAACCAATCATTGCACTAATTATTCCAACGCCTGCTCAAACAGCCAGGTCTTCACTTTTTTGTGGAATACCATTAGAGATGGTGCTAGTCTAATGTCCGTAGGAAGGGCGTTCCACAGCTGAGGAGCCACCACCTAGAAGGCCCTATCTCTCGTCCCCGCCAGCCGAGCTTGAGAAGCAGGCGGGATCGAGAGCAGGGTCTCCCCGGAAGATCTTAAAGTCCTGGTGGGTTCATATGCAGAGATGCGGTCGGATAGGTAGCTTGGGCCGGAACCGTTTAGGGCTTTAAAGGCCAACGCCAGCACTTTTGAATTCAGCCCGGTAGCAGATCGGTAGCCAGTGGAGTTGGCGCAACAGGGGGGTTGTATGCTCCCTGCGCTCCGCTCCTGTTAAAATCATGGCTGCCGAGCGTTGGACTAGTTGGAGCTTCCGAGCTGTCTTCAAAGGCAACCCCACTAATAGAAATAGAATGTTTTAAATAAATAAATAATAAATACAGCCTGTAATACCTCACAAACAAAGTTGGAAGGCTTTAATTCAAAAGCATGCTGTAGGGAATGCAACAAAGTTCCAACGGACAGTTTATTCACCTTGGCTCCTCCCCTGCATTGCTCCTGTTTCCATGGCAACGCTCTCCCAGATTTCAAATATACACAGGAAAGACCTATGTCATGGCCTTATTTCCTGTCTTCACACCAAACCAGGAAATAAGGTCGTGTCATAGGACCCCTTTCTTGTTTGTAACTTGGGGTGACCTGTGTCCTGTATATTGTTGTTGTTGTTGTTGTTATTATTATTATTATGTATATCCTTCTTTATCTCTCCCAAAGGCTTTCTGCGATAATCCAAAATCATCATTAGGCTCTAACGGTGTCTACGAAACATACGTGGATTTCTTTGTATAGACCTGGGTTTCGCTTCTGCATCTGAACTTAATGCATTGAATTATGATGATGATAATAATACTTATTTATGCCCCACTTAATCTCTCCCAAAGGAGATTCAAAGAGGCTATGCATCTATGATTCTACTATTATTATTATTATTATTATTATTATTATTAATAATAATAATAATAATAATAATAATAATAATAATATTAGAAACACAACAAGATTAGTACACAGCAAACAAGATCACTCTGCTGGCTTTTGTATTGGATCCCATATCGGACACTTCCCAAGTGTCTAGGACTGTGTGATCTATAGGCGAGTAATGTGTGCAGGTCCGAGTAGGGTGACCTTTTGCAGCTGACAGGTGGTGATTTTGTCAGCATCAATAGTTTTTAAGTGCAGGCCAAGGTCTTTAGGCACTGCACCCAGTGTGCCGATCGCCACTGGGACCACCTTGACTGGTTTGTGCCAGAGCCTTTGCAGTTAGGTATTTAAATCTTCATATTGTGTCAGCTTTTCCAGTTGTTTCTCTTCAATGCTGCTGTCGCCTGGGATTGCGACATCAACGATCCATACTTCATTTTTTCCCATGATTGTGAGGTCAGGAGTCTTGTGATCCAAAACTCTGTCAGTCAGAATTTGGAAGTCCCAGATGCTAACAGTTCCATAGCTTCGTTGCCAACAAACAACTCAGTTTTCCCTTGTTTCAATGCATTTTCAGTGAACTTGCTAATATTTTCACAAACCCCAATGACATCCAGACATTTGATAATAATAATAATAATAATAATAATAACTTTATTGATACCCAGCTTTATCTCTCCCAAAGGAGATTCAAAGTGTCTATGTATCTATTATTATATTTATGTACACCCCACTTTATCTCTCCACTAGGAGACTCAAAAAGGCTGTGTATACATTATTATTAGTAGTAGAAGTAGCTGGAACTAGAGAGCATAGGTAGGTCTTCAGCCACAAGGTTTTTAGCTTCTCACAAAAAGGAATATTCATTTAGAGCACTACCTAACTATTCCACTTCCTCTACCCTTAAGAAGAATATATACTAGGGCTAGGTTTGAACAACTCGGTACTATGGTGCAAACCGGGCACTACTGTAACATCCCAAGAAGTGAGAGATTCTGCGTCTGGGGAGAACAAACAGTGGAAGACATTGAACATTTCTTAATTGACTGTCCAGCATATACTGAACTGCGAGACAGATATTTACATCCAATATTATCCAACTGCAGGTCTCCCAACAGAAATGATATTCTGACATCCCTCTTGCAAGGGCAGGAAAGATCCAGCATAATCAGAGTAAGCCTTTTTATTCTGAAAGCTATTAAGAAAAGAGCAGATTTCCTGAAAGAAGAACCAGGAAAATAAGATTCTGACTATAAATAGAAGGTCGGCTGCTGTCTTCACTTTGTTGCCTTGTTTTTTTTACTCGTGTTCTATTTTGAAATGGTCATATGACTGATCAAATAAATAATAATAATATTAATCTGACTTGGCCACGGTAGTCCACGCTCTGGTTACATCCCGCCTAGACTACTGCAACGCTGTCTACGTGGGGTTGCCCTTGAAGACGGCCCGGAAGCTTCAATTAGTCCAACGTGCGGCAGTCATGATTCTAACAGGAGCGGAATGCAGGGAGCATACGACCCCCCTGTTGCGCCAGCTCCATTGGCTCAATTCAAGGTGCTGCCGTTGGCCTATAAAGCCTTAAACGGTTCCGGCCCAAGCTACCTATCCGACCGCATCTCTGCCTATGAACCCACCAGGACTTTGAGATCTTCCGGGGAGGCCCTGCTCTCGATCCTGCCGGCTTCTCAAGCACGGTTGGTGGGGACGAGAGATAGGGCCTTCTCGGTGGTGGCCCCTCGGCTGTGGAACGCCCTTCCCATGGACATTAGATCGGCCCCATCTCTCATGGTATTCCGTAAAAAACTGAAGGCCTGGCTGTGTGTGCAGGCGTTCAAATAACTAGTACAATGATTGGTAATGAACATAGGAATGAACAATGGATGACGAATCTGGATTATGTTTTTGACGATGAGACGATTGGGTTTGGTTATGGTAGTAATTGTTTACTGAGCGGGTAATGTGTTAAGTTGTTAATTGTTGTTATATGTTGCATTGAATTATTGCTGTTTTTACTGACTGTGAACCGCTGTGAGTCGCCTTCGGGCTGAGAACAGCGGTATAGAAGCAAAGTAAATAAATAAATAAATAAATAAATATTATTATTAGTAGTAGAAGTAATAGTAGTATATTTATGGAGCCCCCGGTGGCGCAGTGGGTTAAACCCCTGTGCCGGCAGGACTGAAGACCGACAGGTCACAGGTTCAAATCCGGGGAGAGGCGGATGAGCTCCCTCTATCAGCTCCAGCTCCTCATGCGGGGACATGAGAGAAGCCTCCCACAAGGATGGTAAAAACATCAAAACATCCTGGGCGTCCCCTGGGCAACGTCCTTGCAGACGGCCAATTCTCTCACACTTGCAGTTTCTCAAGTCGCTCCTGACACGACAAAAAAAAAAAAAGAGAGAAGAGAGAAAAAAAGAGAGAACAGAGAAGCCATTGAAATCCACAAGCATGTGGACAATTTCAACAGAAAGGAAGAAACCATGAAAATGAACAAAATCTGGCTACCAGTATTAAAAAACTCAAAAATTACAACAGCAAAACAACAGAGGGGAAACAAACAGGCACATAAAATCACTCTCAACAAAAGATTCCCCCAGGCACTTCCAAGCCATTGAATGCTAATCAAGGTGATCAGCTGAAACATTCACACCTAGCCCCAGCAGACAAAAGTCCTTTGTCTCACCCTGGTCATTCCACAGATATATAAACCCATTTTCCTACTTCCAACAGACCTCACTACCTCTGAGGATGCTTGCCATAGATGCAGGCGAAACGTCAGGAGAAAATGCCTCTAGAACATGGCCATATAGCCCGGAAAAACCTACAACAACCCAAAAAAAAGTATATTTCTGCCTGCCCTGCCGCCTTTCTCTCTCTCACCCCTGTCCAGCCCGGAGGAACCCTGCTGGGCAGCCGCAGAGGAAGCCGCCCTGGGTGTTGGCACATCCATAGCTGCAGGCGCTGCCGGCTCCGGATGCGCACTCGTTGACATCCTGGCAGCCGCCTGAGGTCTGGTCGAAGTCGAAGCCCGAGGGGCAGACGCAGCGGAAACTGCCCAAGGTGTTGAAGCAGGAGGCCGAGCCGCAGGAGGAGGACGACGATGAGGAGGAGGTGCCAGAGCACTCGTTCTCGTCTGCGGAACAAAGGCAGTGAGAGTGAGATTGACATCCTACGGCGCAATCTTAACGCTGAGCCCAAGCCAAAGGGGAAGTGGCACCCGGAGCTCCTCTTGGAGGGACACCACCTCTCATTGAATTGAATTGGGTCCATGCTATGCCATGCTGGGATTTGTACTTTGGTGGGACACCAGCATCCTTTCGCAGAAAAAGATCAAGGCCTTGTCAAACTACAGGATCCCATCACATTGAACCCCTCTGGAATTCTAAGAATGTATCAACATCATCATCATCAACAACAACAACAATAATAACACTGTTCTACAAATTTTCAGTTTTTCTCAGTTGCGGAAACTAAATGTGCCGTTTCTTAATAAATTTAACATGCTGAATTCAAATATAATAATTAAATGTGTTAATTGGCTCTGGTTTTTATGCAACAGCTATTTCAATTTTCTCCACAATAGGTAATTCGTTAATATTATGATAATGCGCCTAACCTTACTGCATGTATATAAACTGTGAAAATTTTAGTCAAATTATATTGCCAATAGTTTATACATGATAAATATTTATTTAATTAGTCTATTGTTTATGTTTGTGCAGCAAGAAACTCTATTAGTAGGCCTAATGCAGTTGAAAAGTCTGAAAGTTTAAATGTCGCTTTAATCGTGACTTTAGTTCATATACTGTTAGCTTCTCTTGACTTCTCTTTTGTATTCAGGGAAAGGATTGTCTCTTCCAATGCTCCAGCAGTAGTCTGACAGCATTGACGGAGTCCATTTGCCTTGATATCTTTTTTCCATAGTGCTTTATTTACACACGTGCGAGGCATAACTACAGTAAAAAGAACAATGTAAAACGATGTTTAACGATACTGTCTCAGTCTTCAACTGACTGACCCTCACCGTTCAAAAGTCTGGCCTTATATAGGGCTTTCTGGCTTTTGCACACGGCACTAATACTGCATCATCAAACTTTCTAGAATATTCTAGAATCTTCCATAGTGTAAGTCGCAACATGCATTTTTTCAACCATACGTGATCACGTGATTGCTTATATCATAAAAACTAGAGCCAATATACATTTTTAAATGTCATTTTTGTTTTCAGCACCCCAAAATCATAAAAGAACAACTATTTTCAGGCCCACAACTTTTTCTCCGTTGAACAGTGTAATGGAAGCTTACAGGGAGAAAGGCAGGAGAGAAATAAATGATGATGATGATGATGATTCATTTCATTGAATTGATTTACTTGAGGACCTTCAGGTTTGTTGTGCCCCTTTACATTTGTGACTACAATGTAACAATGTGTCCATATCTCTTCAAAAATGTTGGTTCAACCTCTAAAGAACAATTAATGTTTACAAAGGGAAATGTTTGGGAAGCTCTGGTATATAAAGTCAGCCTCCGGTCTCCACAGGGGATGCTGTAGAAACAGGAAGCCAATCGGCATGGAACAACTTCCAGCGGAAGGCTTCCTTGGAGGTTTACGTAAACTGACCAACGGCAAGCCTTGTGAGAGCCTGGAAAAGGGCTTGGAAGCCAAGAAGGGGAACTGAGTCGAAGATCATGGTTGCCCCGGGCGCTTCTTCCCAGTGGATCACTCACCCACACACTGGTTCCACTGGTAGTGCTGGACGTAGCCCTGGGGGCAGCCACAGCGGTAGCCCCCCAGCACGTTCTGGCAGCCATGCTGGCAGCGGTGGTTGCCCTCGCACTCATTCACATCTGCGGGAAAAGGGGTAGAGTATTAATCTACGGAACTTCCCGCCACAGGGCCCACTGTGATGGCCTCTCCCTCTTTTTGTCTTTACACTTTTGACCCCTGGAACTCCCTGCCATAGGACTCACTGTTATGGCACCTTATTTACTGTGTTAACTATTAACCAATACCAATAATAATAATATTATTAATAATAGTAATAATAATAATAATAATAATCTCTAACCAACATCAATAATAGTAATAATAATATTTGGGAAGTCTAGATGTCCTTTGGTAGGAGTCTAATAATGATAATGATAATAATAATAATAATAATAATAATAATAATAATTTATTTGATCAGTCATATGACCATTTCAAAATAGAACACGAGTAAAAAACAAGGCAACAAGGTGAAGACAGCAGCCGACCTTCTATTTATAGTCAGAATCTTATTTTCCTGGTTTTTCTTTCAGGAAATCTGCTCTTTTCTTAATAGCTTTCCCATAAGAAGTCCCAAAATAACACAAAAATTTGGCGTGAACTGGACTCTGCCTTACATTTGAAGAATAATGATAATAATAAAAGTAATATTCTTCCTGCCTGGCAGAAGGGGGCTGGACTTGATGCCCTTTGGGGCCCCTTCCAACTAAAAATAACAACAACAACATCAACAACAACAATGTAGTAATTCCATCTTCCTGCCTGGCAGAAAGGGATTGGAGTCTAGTAGTAGTAGTAGTAGTAGTAGTAGTAGTAGTACTTTTAGTAGTAGTAATATTCTTCCTGCCTGGCAGAAGGGGGCTGGACTTGATGCCCTTTGGGGCCCCTTCCAACTAAAAATAACAACAACAACATCAACAACAACAATGTAGTAATTCCATCTTCCTGCCTGGCAGAAAGGGATTGGAGTCTAGTAGTAGTAGTAGTAGTAGTAGTAGTAGTAATAGTAGTAGTAATGTAGTAATTCTATCTTCCTGTTTGGCAGAAAGTGGTTGGACTGGATGTCCTTTGGGGGTCCCTTCAAACTCTTGGAGTCTAATAATAATAATAATAATAATAATAATAATAATATGTACTGTCGAAGGCTTTCATGGCTGGAATCACTAGGTTCTTGTGGGTTTTTTCGGGCTATAGAGCCATGTTCTAGAGGCATTTCTCCTGACGTTTCGCCTGCATCTATGGCAAGCATCCTCAGAGGTAGTGAGGATGCTTGCCATAGATGCAGGCGAAACGTCAGGAGAGAATGCCTCTAGAACATGGCTCTATAGCCCGAAAAAACCCACAAGAACCTAATAATAATAATAATATAGCTGAGTAGATAAAAGACTTTGAAAACAAATTTTCAGAGAATGAAATGAGAACCTTGGAAATAACAACAGAAATGATCACTGAAAGAGTGAAGAAAGTCAAGAACTGGACATCACCTGGCAATGATCAACTGCACGGATTTTGGCTTAAATATCTGATTAGCCTGCACTCAAAAATGGCCGAACAATTCAATGAGATGCTGCAAACTGGAAACATCAGCAAATGGATAACAACTGGGAACATAGAATATAGAATCAAAGAGTTGGAAGAGACCTCATGGGCCATCCAGTCCAACCCTGCCAAGAAGCAGGAATATTGCATTCAAAGCACCCCTGACAGATGGCCATCCAGCCTCTGTTTAAAAGCTTCCAAAGAAGGAGCCTCCACCACACTCCGGGACAGAGAGTTCCACTGCTGAACGGCTCTCACAGTCAGGAAGTTCTTCCTCATGTTCAGATGGAATCTCCTTTCTTGTAGTTTGAGATTCGCGTCCTAGTCTCCAGGGAAGCAGAAAACAAGCTTGCTCCCTCCTTCCTGTGGCTTCCTCTAACATATTTATACATGGCTATCATATCTCCTCTCAGCTTCTCTTCTTCAGGAAACATGTCCAGCTCCTTAAGCCGCTCCTCATAGGGCTTGTTCTCCAGACCTTTGATCATTTTAGTCGCCCTCCTCTGGACACATTCCAGCTTGTTAACATCTCCCTTCAATTGTGGTGCCCAGAATTGGACACAGTATTCCAGGTGTGGTCTAACCAAAGCAGAATAGAGGGGTAGCATGACTTCCCTGGATCTAGACACTATGCTCCTTTGATGCAGGCCAAAATCCCATTCGCTTTTTTTGGCACCACATCACATTGTTGGCTCATGTTTAACTTGTTGTCCACAAGGACTCCAAGATCTTTTTCACACGTACTGCTCTCGAGCGAGGCGTCCCCCGTATTTGATACAGAAACATCCAGCAAAAAGGATAACACCAGGAAACTACAGGCCAATAATGTGTCTGCCTACAATGTCCAAATTACTGGCAGTCACAATGGCTGATCAAATCCAGGATTACTTGGAGGCAAATAACATCTTGCCAGTAGAATAAAAAGAAGTAAGGGCACAAAAGATCAGCTTCTGATTAACAAAATGATACCGGAGAATTGCAAAAGCCACAAAACAAACTTCTATACAACTTGGATTGATTACAAAAAAGCATTTGACTCATTGCCACATTGTTGGATCATCAAATGTCTAGATGTCATCGGAGTTTGTGAAAATATTAGAAAGTTCAATGAAATGCAATGAAACAATGGAAAACTGAGTTGTCTGTGGGCAATGAAAGCTATGGAACTGTTAACATCAAGAGAGGAATTTTCCAGGTTGACTAACTGTCACCACTGTTCATCATTGCAATGATGTCAGTAATTCTACAGAAAACAAACCTAGGCTACCAAACAGCAACAAATTCACCAAAAAAAATTCCCACTTGGATGATCTAAAGCTTTATGGAAAATCAGAAATCCAGTCACTGACCAACACAGTCTGAATCTTCAGCACTGATATCAGTATGGAGTTCGGCCTAGACAAATGTGCCACAGTGGCATTAAAGAAAGGGAAAATTACTCACAGCGAGGGCATAGAGATGCCAAACGGACAAACCATAAAATGCAATCAGCCTGAAGCCTATAAATATCTGGGCATACTACAGCTGGACAATATCAAGCATGGGCATGTGAAAAGTGTGGTCAGCAAAGAAGTCATAAAGGAGTCAGAAAGGTTTTGAAGAGCAAATTAAATGGCGGAAATACAATCAGGGCTATCAACACCTGGGCCATCCTCGTCATTAGATACACTGCTGGGATTGTGAACTGGACATAAGCAGACTTGGATGATCTGGACAGAAAAACAAGAAAACTGATGACAATCATCTACTCATTACACCCGTGTAGTGATGTCCAGAGCAGAAGAGAAAACTGGCAAAAGAAGGCTCTCCATGGAGAGTTCCTGGGAAAAACTGAGAGCCAAATTGACAAAGAGAAAACATGGCTGTGGCTCGCAAATGGGACTCTGAAAAAGGAGACGGAGGGCCTGATTCTGGCAGCCCAAGAACAAGCCATTAGAACAAATGCCATCAAAGCCAGAATTGAAAAGTCGACGACAGATCGCAAATGTAGACTCTGCAAGGAAGCAGATGAAACAATAGATCACATCCTCAGCTGCTGCAAGAAGAGACAGACAGACTACAAGCAGAGGCATAACAAATTGCTCAGATGATTCATTGGAACCTGTGCCACAAAGAACTGGTGGGATCACAAGCCGGAAAAAAATACAGAAAATGAACATATCAAACTCCTCTGGGACTTCCGAATTCAGACAGACAGAGTTTTGGAGCACTTGACTGTGACCTCACGATCGTGTTAAAAAACAAAGTGTGGATTGTCAATGTTGTAATCCCAGGTGACAGCAGGATTGAAGAGAAACAACTAGAAAAGCTGACATGATATGAGGATTTTAGGATCAAACTACACAAGCCAGTAAAGGTGGTCTCAGTGGTGATTGGCACAGTGGGTGCAGTGCCTAAAGACCTTGGCCTGCACTTAAACATAATTGGCGCTGACAAAATTACCATCTGCCAGCTGCAGAAGGCCACCTTACTGGGATCTCCACACATTATTTGCCGATACATCACACAGTCCTAGATGCTTGGGAAGTGTCTGACATGTGATCCAATACAACAGCCAACAGAATGATCTTGTCTTCTGTGGACTCATCTTGTTGTGTTTCAAATAATAATAATATAATATTTCTATTTTCCTGCTTTGGGGTCCATTTGGGGTCCCTTTGGGGGTCCACTCCGACTCTTGGTTTGTAATAGTAATGATGATGATGATAATAATAATAATAATAATAATAATAATAAGGCCAGCTGCAGTAAATCTTGCCAATCAAAAGGTTGACAGTTTGAAGCCCAGGTCAGGGTGAGCTCCTGGCCTTTAGCCCAGCTTCTGCCAATCTAGCAGTTTGAAAACAGCAATGTGAGTAGATAAATAGGTGTTTAAGGCACCCATAAGGAAATGCCAGAAAAATGCCGGCGATTTGATCATGGAGGAAGTTTACGAACAAAGCTCTTTGGCAGGGAAAGTGGAGCGACAGCACCCCCTTGTGGCTGGAACCAAGCACAGCCTCCAAGATGCCGAAGATGGGAAAACAGCCTGTATATCTATGTACAGTGTCTGTCTTGTCAGTATATAACAGCATTGAATGTTTGCCATGTATGTGTGCATTGTGATCCATCCTGTGTCCCCTTTGGGGTGAAAAGGGTGGAATATAAATACTATAAATAAATACATAAATAAGACAGTATAATTATAGTGATCTTCCTGCCTGGCAGAAGGCGGCTGTACTAGATGTCCTTTGGGGAGCCCTCCTACCCTCCCATGCGGTCAGGATACCTTCGCAGCTGCTCCCGGCGCCGTTGAGCACGAAGCCCTTCTGGCACTCACAGCTGTAGCTCCCGGGGCTGTTGAGGCAGTGCCCTTTGGAACCGCAGAGGGTGGGCTGGGCTGTGCATTCGTTGTTGTCTGCGCAAAGGCAAGCATGGGTGCATCAGAGTGGGCAATGGAGGAGGAGGACTCGTGGACCCCAAACCACCACCCCCCCAAAGCACAAAGGCTCACCGATGCAGGAGTGGTGGTGCTGGGTAAAGCCTGGGGGGCACTTGCAGTTGAAGCCCCCCACCACGTTGACGCACAGGAACTGGCAGTTGTGCTGCTTGGTGGCGCATTCATCCAAGTCTGGAGGCACAGGGCAGGGGGGCAGAGAAAGGGCCTCTCAGCAAGGAGTGTCATGCTCACTTCTGACTTGGCCAAAACGAGGCTGTACATTAGACTGGCATCATGTGGGGATTGGAGTACTGAGCCCAAGCCAAAGGGAAAGGTGCACCAGGAGCTCCTCTTGGAGGGACATGATCTATAACTGAAGAGCTCAATGAGATGGGATCCTGGGATTTGCAGTTTGGCAAAGCCACCTACCTTTGCAGGTCTTGCCGTCCTCCTGCAGGAAGTATCCCCGGGGACAGGAGCAAAGGAAGCTGCCCTCCGTGTTCTTGCAGAGGAAGTTGCAGGGCTTCGGGGACTGGCTGCACTCATCTAGGTCTGCCGCAGGGGAAGAAGAAGGAGGAGGCCAAGGTCAAGACCTGGGAGGGGGAACGTCCCACTTGCAAATGACTGCTTTGGTCCAGATCCATCATTGTTTGAGTTCACAATGCACTCTGGATGTAGGTGAACTACAATTCCCAAACTCAAGGTCAATGCCCACCAAACCCTTCTAGTGTTTTCTCTTGGTCATGGGAGTTCTGTGTGCCAAGTTTGGTTCAATTCCATCGTTGGTAGAGTTCAGAATGCTCTTTGATTGTAAGTTAACTATAAATCCCAGCAACCACAACTCCCAAATGTCAAGGTCTATTTTCCCCAAACCCCACCAGCTTTCACATTTCAGCATACTAAGTATTTGTGCCAAGTTTGGTCCAGATCCATCATTGTTTGAGTCCACAGTGCTCTCTGGATGTAGGTGAACTACAGCTCCCAAAGTCAAGGTCAATATCCACCAAATCCTTGAGTGTGGTCAAGGACAGGGCTGGGCTGGTTAGCTGGCCTCTGGGGGTCCCTTCCCAGTCTAGGATACGATACCTATCTCATATCTATATCTATCTATCTATCTATCTATCTATCTATCTATCTATCTATCTATCTATACAAGCCGTCCCTGACTTGCACACTTTATTTGTATCCCGCTTCCAGTTAAGAACAAATCTATGATACTATATCTATCTCATCTATCTATATATATATATATATATACTAGCTGTCCCCTGCCACGCGTTGCTGTGGCCCAGTCTGGTGATCTGGAAAATAAAGTAATGAGAAAGTGTTGGTTTCTAATATATGTAATTCCTTTATGCTTGTGAGTAAACAGTATTTCTTGTTGTTTCTTTGTCAATGTTGATGTGAAGAGTGTCTGGTTTGCCTACTCTGGAACATGCAACATATCATAGTCCTTCTTTAAGGGTCTCTTTCAAATCTGTGATACTATATCTCTGTGTGTGAGAGAGAATCATATCTATCTATCTATATTTATAACTGGATGGCTCTTTGTCAGGAGGGCTTTGATTACGTTTTCTTGCCCTGGTGAAGGGAGTTGGACTGGATGGCCTTAAGTATTTTCTGTTGGTCATAGGGGTTCTGTGTGGGAAGTTTGCCCCAATTCTGTCGTTGGTAGGGTTCAGAATGCTCTTTGATTGTAGGTGAACTATAAATCCCAGTAACTACAACTCCCAAATGTCAAGGTCTATTTCCCCAAACTCCATCTGTGTTCATATTTGGGCATAGGGAATATTTGTGCCAAGTTTGGTCCAGATCCATCATTGTTTGAGTCCACAGTGCTCTCTGGATGTAGGTGAACTACAACTCCCAAACTCAAGGTCAATGCCCACCAAACCCTTCCAGTGTGTTCTGTTGGTCATGGAAGTCCTGTATGCCATGTTTGGTTCAATTCCATCATTGGTGGAGTTCAGAATGCTCTTTGATTGTAGGTGAACTATAAATCCCAGCAACTACAACTCCCAAATGTCAAGGTCTATTTCCCTTAAACTCCATCTGTGTTCATATTTGGGCATATGGAATATTCGTGCCAAGTTTGATCCAGATCCATCATTGTTTGAGTCCACAGTGCTCTCTGGATGTGGGTGAACTATAATTCCCAAACTCAAGGTCAATGTCCACCAAACCCTTCCAGTTTTTTCTGTTGGTCATGGGAGCCCTGTGTGCTAAGTTTGGCCCAATTCCATCATTGGTGGAGTTCAGAATGCTCTTTGATTGTAGGTAAGCTATAAATCCCAGCAACAACAATTCCCAAATGACAAAATCATTTTTTTTGAGTAGAGGACATAAATTGGACTGTTAGGTGTCTTGTGTCCAAATTTGGTGTCAATTCCCCCAGTGGTTTTTGAGTTCTGATGGTAGCACGAACATACATTACATTTTTATTTATATAGATGCTCTGTGCATAATGAGTACCTTAAAAAAAAAAGAACCAATGAATGAAATCACACCAAATTTGGCAACAAAACATCTCACAACACAAGGAGTGACCATCACTCAAAAAAATATGATTTTGTCATTTGGGAGTTGTAGTTGCTGGGATTTATAGTTCACCTATAATCAAAGAGCATTCTGAACTCCACCAATGATGGAATTGAACTAAACTTGGCACACAGAACTCCCATGACCAACAGAAAATACTGGAAGGGTTTGGTGGGCATTGACCTTGAGTTTTGGAGTTGTAGTTCACCTACATCAGAGAGCACTGTGGACTCAAACAATGATGGATCTGGACCAAACTCTACACAAATACTCAATATGCCCAAATGTGAACACTGGTGGAGTTTGGAAATAGAATCTTGACATTTGGGAGTTGTAGTTGCTGGGATTTGTAGTTCACCTACAATCACAGAGCATTCTGAACCCCACCAATGACAGAATTGGACCAAACCTCCCACACAGAACTCCCATGTGGGCCACAGCAACGCGTGGCAGGGGACGGCTAGTACTTTATATATTAATACATATATATATATTCATATATATTCATATTCATATATATATTCATAGTCATATATATATATATATATATATATATATATATATATATATATTAGCTGTCCCCTGCCACGCGTTGCTGTGGCCCAGTCTGTTGATCTGGAAAATAAAGTAATGAGAAAGTGTTGGTTTCTAATATATGTAATTTCTTTATGCTTGTGGGTAAACAGTATTTCTTGCTGTTTCTTTGCCAGTGTTGATGTGGAGAGTGTCTGATTTGCCTACTCTGGAACATGCAACATATAGTTGCCCTTCTTTAGGAGTCCCTTTCAAATCTTTGATACTGCATACATACATACATACACGGGTTACAAACATCGGACTTGTAAAGGACTCCAAGTTAAGAACAGAGCTGGACTGGATGACCTTTGGGGCCCCTTCCAAATCTAGGATACTATGTCTAGCTCATATATATATATATATATATATATATATATATATATATATACATATACATATACACACACACACACATACACACACACACACACACACACACACACACACACACACACCTAGGCCATCCCAGAGTTACGACATCTGACTTACAAATGACTCCTAGTTAAGAACAGGGCTGCACTGGATGGCCTCTGGGGGTCCCTTCCAAATCTAGGATACAATACCGATTTCAGGCCTTCCCCAGTTTACAACCATCCAACTTACAAATGACTTACAAACCCTTCCATATGTCATCCAAAGCATGCGTGCACGCGCATGTATGTGTGTATACACACACACATATGATTGGTGTTACAATTAAAAAATGTCTGTGCTCCGACTTACAAACAAATTCAACTTAAGAACAAGCTTACAGAACTTCTCTTGTTTGTCCCTTAGGGAACCGCCTGTCTCACCCATGCTACCATGCAATTGTCTCATATTAATTTTTCAAATTAGTATGATAAAAGAGAGAGTTGATTGAGAAATCCAGTGAAGCGCCTTGACCTTGGCAGTGCGTTCCAGTGAGGTCGGGGCCATAGCCGGCCTGGCAATGGCAGCGGAAGGAGCCCAGGCTGTTGATGCACTGGCCGTTGCGGCAGAGGTTTGGCAGCACTTTGCACTCGTCGATGTCTCCACGGAGCACAGGAATAATAAGGGAAAGAGAGGAAAAGAAAGAAAGAGAGAGTGAGTTACATCTTCTATTTGGAACAGAAGGGATGGAGGCTTTGAAGCACAGGTTGGAGGGCTATCTGTCAGGAGGGATCAGATTATGTGTCCCCTGCCTAAAGGCAGAAGGGGGTCTGACTAGAGGCAATTTAACATTCCAGCTTTTCCGGCTTCATGAGGGTATGCTCGATTCCGGTCACAGGGGGAGCTGTCGCTTCACCCTCCACTTGTGGCAACAAGTCCTTGATGGAGTACTTCCTCATTCTTATGCACGCCGATGGAAGGATTTATGGCGTCATAAATTAGTTAAATTGGGTTTAAAATTAGGTTGCATTGTAATAGGTTGTCTGTGGTTTGCTCTTCACAGACCACTTAATACAATGCAGCCTGAGACCTGCCACATGCACAGTATAGGAACTTCTTACAGCCACACCAGAGGCATTCCAAGTGGCCAGCTTCTGGTCAAAGGACGTTTAGCAAAGTTTTTAACTTTGCTTGTGGTTTTAAATAATTACAACTGTATCCGCAATTCACTTCTGAAACAATAAATAGTTTTCTTAGATCTACAGAGACACTCGCTGGAACACCTCAGCAAGCAAGAGTTCAAAAGTGGCAGGCTCAAACCCAGCACCTCAATCCGTGGGTGATACCAGATGAGAGACTTCCCCCTGGGCACACAGAAGACTGGGCGACTTGGAAGGCGCTGAACAGACTGCGCTCTGGCACCACGAGCTGCAGAGCCAATCTTAAGAAATGGGGCTACAAAGTTGAATCCACAACATGCGAGTGTGGAGAAGAACAAACCACTGACCACCTGCTGCAATGCACCCTGAGCCCTGCCACATGCACAACGGAGGACCTTCTTGCGGCAACACCAGAGGCACTCCAAGTGGCCAGATACTGGTCAAAGGACATTTAATCAGCTACCAAGTTTGCAAAATTTGTGTGTTTTTTTAAATCTGTTTTGTTTGTTTTGTTCTGTTAGAAATGTAATACAATGTTCTGGTTGCGGATGACACGATAAATAAATAAATAAATAAATTACAATGTTATATATAAAATATATATTATTACTCACATTATTCATATATAATTATATTATTATTATTATTATTATTATTATTATTATTATTATTATTAACCACTACCGGGTAGGTAAGTCATCCCAATTCCATGTCAAGTTTTTACTAAGTGACAATTTCTCCCAAGTGATCAAATTCCTGATTTAGCCTGCCTAAGACAATTTGCTGTGTTGGATTCAGGTTGAAACTTGACTTGTATATATTTGCAGTGTTTTTACCCATGTTTATATGCATCCAGAATCACACTCATTGATGAATCTGTTCTGCACGTTTTCTGCTGTGCAAATTGGGTCTTTGGACCATAATAAAGTTTGCAAGCGGAAGAGAGAGACACCAGGACTTCCTTCAATCTGGACACTGGACTCCTTTGGGTGCAGCCAGAATCCTGTTGGCTTTTTGAGCTGCTGCATCACGCTCTTGGCTCACGTTCCACGAAGACGCCAAGATCTTTCTCACATGGACCGTAGTCGAGCCAGGCACTGTCCCCCTTCCTGTATCTTGGCATTTCATTTTTTTCTGCCTACATGGAATATCTTGCATTTGTCCTTGTTGGAATGCATGGTGTTAGTTCTAGCCAAACCACTCTCTCATCTGTGAAGGTCCTTTTGAATCCGGATCCTGTCCTCTGGAGGATTAGTACTCCCTCCCAATTTGGTCCCATCTGCAAACCTGATCAGGAAGGCCTTCTAAATGGTATTATTCTTTATAGGTTTTTGTATTAAAATATAATACAGTATAGTATAGTATAGTATAGTATAGTATAGTATAGTATAGTATAGTATAGTATAGTATAGTATAGTGTAGAACAGAAGCTCTCCGAAGCTCTAGGTGCTCTTACTGCCTACTACAGGGAAAACCAGCTGATCCCTAACCCATCTAAAACACAGACATGTGCCTTTCATCTCAAGAACAGAGAAGCATCCCGAGCTCTGAAGATCACCTGGGAAGGAATCCCACTGGAGCATTGCAGCGCACCCAAATACCTGGGAGTCACTCTGGACCGTGCTCTTACCTACAAGAAGCACTGCCTGAACATCAAGCAAAAAGTGGGTGCTAGAAACAACATCATACAAAGCTGACTGGCATAACCTGGGGATCACAACCAGATACAGTGAAGACATCTGCCCTTGCGCTGATGCTACTCTGCTGCTGAGTATGCATGCCCAGTGTGGAACACATCTCACCACACTAAAACAGTGGATGTGGCTCTTAATGAGACATGCCGCATTATCACGGGGTGTCTGCGCCCTACACCACTGGAGAAATTACACTGTCTAGTCGGTATTGCACCACCTGAGATCCGCCGGGAAGTAGCAGCCAATAGTGAAAGGACCAAGGCAGAGACATCTCCAGCTCATCCCCTGTTTGGGTATCAGCCAGCACGCCAACGACTTAAATCTAGACATAGTTTTCTAAGATCTACAGAGACACTCGCTGGAACACCTCAGCAAGCGAGAGTTCAAAAGTGGCAGGCTCAAACCCAGAACCTCAACCAATGGCTGATACCAAATGAGAGACTCCCTCCTGGGCACACAGAAGACTGGGCGACTTGGAAGGCACTGAACAGACTGCGCTCTGGCACCACAAGATGCAGAGCCAACCTTCAGAAATGGGGCTACAAAGTAGAATCCTCGACATGCGAGTGTGGAGAAGAGCAAACCACTGACCACCTGCTGCAATGCAACCTGAGCCCTGCCACATGCACAATGGAGGACCTTCTTGCAGCAACACCGGAAGCACTCCAAGTGGCCAGATACTGGTCAAAGGACATTTAACCAGCTACCAAACTCACAAGTTGTGTATTCTTCTGTTTGTTTGCTTTGTTCTGTTAGAAATGTAATATAATGGACTGGCTGCTCTGACACGACAAATAAATAAGTATAGTATAGTATAGTATAGTATAGTATAGTATAGTATAGTATACGGATGGGTCTTGTCCTGGCTCACCTCGCCCATCGGTGGCGGACCCCGTTCCATGGGGGCACATCTTCCTATGCGGTGCGGTGCCAATGAAGGGGCAGAGCTCACACTGGGGTCCCCAGCCCCGCCCCCCCGCGCAGCAGCACTCCGACTTGGTGGTTGGCTGCCGGTTGGTAGAGGACATCTGGCACATCGCCTGCAGCACCTCTGTGAAGCACAAGCCCCGACGCACATCTGCAAGGAGAGAGCAAGCGGGACAGTATTATTATTATTAGTAGTAGTATCATTATTTGTTTATTTACCCTATTTATATCCCGTTTTTTTCTACCCCAAGGGGGGCTCAAGGCGGCTTACATATGGCAGTTATTCAATGCCTTAAGCACATATAAACATTAAGCTCAAAATCCACTGAATTAAAATTAATACATATTTTAAAATTTCAAATTACATTCAATATTAAAATCACGCCATCCAAAAATCGTAGTCTGAGGCCGTTCTGTAGTCATCACACATATTCCAATTATATTATATTATTGCGCTGCTTCTCCGAAGGCCTGGTTCCAGAGCCAGGGTTTTACTCTCCTTCTGAAGGCTAGGAGGGAGGGGGCTGATCTAATGTCGCTAGGGAGGGAGCTCCATCGCTGAGGGGCCACCACCAAGAAGGAAAGCCCTGTCTCCCATTCCCACCAGTGGATGTGGCTCTTAATGAGACATGCCGCATTATCACGGGGTGTCTGCACCCTACACCACTGGAGAAACTACACTGTCTAGCCCAGGGGTCCTCAAACTTTTACAACAGAGGGCCAGGTCACAGTCCCTCAAGATGTTGGAGGGCCGGATTATAATTTAAAAAATGATTGAATTCTGAGTTGTAGATTTTTCGGGCTGTATAGCTATGTTCTAGAAGCATTCTCTCCTGACGTTTCGCCTACATCTATGGCAGGTACCCTCAGAAGTTGTGAGGTCTCAGCCTCTGAGGATGCCTGCCATAGATGCAGATGAAACATCAGGAGAAAATGCTTCTAGAACATGGCCATACAGCCTGAAAAACCTACAACAGCCCAGGGATTCCGGCCATGAAAGCCTTCGACAATACAATGAATGAATTCCTATGCACACTGCACATATCTTATTTGTAGTGCAAGAAACACTTAAAATAATACAATAAGTAAAATGAAGAACAATTTTAACAAATATAAACTTATGAGTTTATCAATGGGAAGTGTGGGCCTGCTTATGGCTGATAAGATAGGGTTGTTGTTGTTGTGTGTGCTTTCAAGCCATTTCAGACTTAGGTTGACCCTGAGCGAGGGCCGGTTAAATGAGCTTGGAGGGCCGTATTCGGCCCCCGGGCCTTAGTTTGAGGACCCCTGGTCTAGCCGGTATTGCACCACCTGACATCCTCCGGGAAGTAGCAACCAATAGTGAAAGGACCAAGGCAGAGACATCTCCAGCTCATTCCTTGTTTGGGTATCAGCCAGCATGTCAATGACTTAAATTAAGAAATAGTTTTCTAAGATCTACAGAGACACTCGCTGGAACACCTCAGCAAGCGAGAGTCCAAAAGTGGCAGGCTCAAACCCAGAACCTCAATCAATGGCTGATACCAAATGAGAGACTCCCCCGGGCACACAGAAAACTGGGCGACTTGGAAGGCACTGAACAGACTGCGCTCTGGCACCACGAGATGCAGAGCCAACCTTCAGAAATGGGACTACAAAGTGGAATCCATGACATGTGAGTGTGGAGAAAAGCAAACCACTGACCACCTGCTGCAATGCAACCTGAGCCTTGCTACATGCACAATGGAGGACCTTCTTGCAGCAACACCAGAAGCACTCCAAGTGGCCAGATACTGGTCAAAGGACATTTAATAGAATACCAAGCTTGCAAACTTTGTGTTTTGTCTGTTTGTTTGTTTGTTTTGTTAAAAATGTAATACAAATGTCTGGTTGCTCCTGACACGATAAATAAATAACCAGTCACACTTGCAAACAAGGTGGGACCAAGAGCAGGGCCTCCCCAGAAGATCTTAATCTTTCAGGTGGTTCATAGGGGGAGATACATTCAGACAAGATACATTCATTACCTGTGAAAGTATTATTATTATTATTATTATTATTATTATCAAATATGCAGTTTCTGCCTCTGAGGAGCAAAGCTGCGTAGAGACCACAGCGGCCATATGCATAATGGCAGGAGGGGGTTGGACTAGATGGTCTTTAGGGGTCTCTTCTGATTCTAGGTCCTTGGATATAATCATTAAAGATTCCTAAACAAGGTCAAAGGCCTGTGTGAAGAGCCATGTTTTCAGAGATATTCAAAAGGTTGGAGAGTGGGGGCTCATCTAATCACTCTTGAGAGGTCGTTCCAAAGCCGGGGAGCCACCACCGAGAAGGAAAGGCCCTCTTTTCCCTCGTCCCCACCAACCACGCTTGAGACAGAGGTGGGACTGAATGCAGGGCCTCCCTGCCATATCTCATTTCAGCAAATCCCGCGACACGACTTACCCAGACACTCGGTGCCCGAGGGGCTGCTCTGGAAGCCCTCATTGCAGTCGCAGTGGTAGCTGCCCACGGAGTTCACGCAGCGGCCATTGGGGCAGATCCCAGGCTTTGTGCGGCATTCGTTCTCATCTGAGAAGGGAGGAAGGAAGGAAGAGAGTAAAAGGATGCCAGGCTCCCCCTAGACCAGGCATGGCTCTCCCTCCACGTGTTCTAGACTTCAACTCCCACATTTCCTAACACCCGGTAATAATAGTAATAATATAATATAATATAATATAATATAATATAATATAATAAGAACATAAAAATGATAACATAACATCACAATAATAATAATAATAATAATAATAATAATATAATAGAAACCATACAATAAAATATAATAATCATACTATAATTAATGTCGCTAGGGAGGGAGTTCCATCGCTGAGGGGCCACCACCAAGAAGGAAGGCCCTGTCTCCCATTCCCACCAGTCACACTTGCAAATAAGGTGGGTTTCAACAAGCCTTTGAAAATGACCAGTTCTAACTCAGCCCCACACATTGTCTAATATGGCCTTATTCTTCCTACCAGTTACCCAGATTCTTTCCTCTAACACTGTTCAACGGAGAAAAAGTTGCGGGCCTGAAAATAGTTGTTCTTTTATGATTTTGGGGTGCTGAAAACGAAAATGACATTTAAAAATGTATATTGGCTCTAGTTTTTATGATATAAGCAATCGCGTGATCACGTATGGTTGAAAAAATGCATGTTGCGACTTACACTATGGAAGATTCTAGAATACTCTAGAAAGTTTGATGACGCAGTGTTAGTGCCATGTGCAAAAGCCAGAAAGCCCTATATAAGGCCAGACTTTTGAACGGTGAGGGTCAGTCAGTTGAAGACGGAGACAGTATCGTTAAACATCGTTTTACATTGTTCTTTTTACTGTAGTTATGCCTCGCTTGTGTGTAAATAAAGCACTATGGAAAAAAGAGATCAAGGCGAATGGACTCCGTCAATGCTGTCAGACTACTGCTGGAGCATTGTAAGAGACAATCCTTTCCTTGAATACAAAAGAAAGTCAAGAGAAGCAAACAGGATATAAACTAAAGTCACGATTAAAGCGACATTTAAACTTTCAGACTTTTCAACTGCATTAGGCCTGCTAATATAGTTTCTTGCTGCACAAACATAAACAATAGACTAATTAAATAAATATTTCTTATGTATAAAAAACTAAAGCCTTTGACTGTGTGGATCATAATACATTGTGGCAAGTTCTTGGTGGTAGACCAAGGGGGAGACCAATTTATTTATTATTTATTTATTTAGAACTTTTATATACCGGTCTTCTCACCTCCCTCCGCAGAGGGACTCAGGCCGGTTCACAACAACAGTATCACAGACAATAGTTTAAAAACATCACATCCCGTAATACACTAAAACATTACAATACTAAAATACAATCTATAATTACATAGGCCAAGTCGTCAAAATGAAATCGTAGTTCATCACCATCCGTCCGTGTAGTCACGAGTTATTGACTCACTCGTCAAATGCCAGTTTCCAGAGCCAGGTTTTCACCTGTTTTCTAAAGGTCAGGAGGGAAGGGGCAGTTCTAATCTCCAGTGGGAGAGAGTTTCAGAGCCGAGGGGCCACCACCGAGAAGGCCCTGTCCCTCGTCCCCACCAGACGCGATTGCGAGGATGGTGGGGATGAGAGCAGGGCCTCTCCAGAAGATCTTAACAATCTTGATGGTTCATAGGGGAGAATCCGTTGACTTAAATCAAGAAATCAAGCCACCTTGCAAGTCCCCTGAGGAATCTGTTTAACGACCAAGTAGCAACAGTCAGACCATGGAACAAAGCCTGGTTCAAGACTGGGAAAGGAGTACAATAGGGCTGTCCACTCTCACCCTCCCTACTCAACTTGTATGCAGAATGCATCATAAGAGGATGTGCAGTGCTAGACGAATCCAAGGCTGGAGTTAAAATGGCTGAAAGAAACATGAACAACCTTAGAAATGCAGATGATAGCACTTTGATGGCTGAAAGTGAGGAGGAGCTGAGGAGTCTTCCTTTCCTTAGGCAATCCCTCGTTGGATGAGTAAGATGGTCTTCCATGATGGGTTTCCTTGTGGATTCGTAGGTGGCTGTGGAGCCCTATTCTTGACCCGCATCTTCTCCCACAGTGAAGGCATTGGTTTCCAGGTGGAAGGCGGTCCCGGTCGGGGTTGGCACGTTTCTCTCTTTCACCCTCCACTTGTGCCTCCTCGAATTCTGCAGCACTGCTGGTCACAGCTGACCTTCAGCTTGAGCGCTCAAGGGCCAGGGCTTCCCAGTTCTCAGTGTCTATGCCAGAAATTTTAAGGTTGGTTTTGAGGCCATCTTTAAATCTCTTTTCCTGTCCACCAACATTCCGTTTTCCATTCTTAAGTTCAGAGTAGAGCGACTGCTTTGGGAGACGGTGGTCAGGCATCCGGACAATGTGGCCGGTCCAGCGGAGTTGATGGCAGAGGACCATCGCTTCAGTGCTGGTGGTCTTTGCTTCTTTGCAGGATTTTCCGGAGGCAGTGCTGATGGAATCGTTCCAGGAGTTGCATGTGACGTCTGTAGACAGTCCACGTTTCGCAGGCATAGAGCAGGATTGGGAGGACAATAGCATTATAGACAAGCACCTTGGTATCCCTACGGATGTCCCGGTTCTCAAACACTCTCTGCTTCATTTGGGAAAATGCTGCACTCGCAGAGCTTAGGCGGTGTTGTGTTTCGGTGTCGATGTTGACTTTGGTGGAGAGGTGACTGCCAAGGTAGCGGAAATGGTCAACATTTTCTAATGTTATACCATTAAGCTGTATCTCTGGCATTGGAGAGGGGTTGGCTGGTGACTGCTGGTGACCCAATTAAGGTGGAATCGGGTGTCAAACATGGATGTGTTATTGCCCCAACTCTATTCTCCATCTTCATTGCTATGATACTTCACCTTGTTGACGGGAAGCTTCCCACCGGAGTGGAAGTCATCTATCGGACAGATGGCAAGCTGTTTAACCTCAGCAGACTGAAAGCCAAAACCAAGGTTACAACAACATCTGTTATAGAACTCCAGTATGCTGATGACAATGTCGTCTGTGCACATTCAGAAGAAGATCTACAAGCCACTCTAAACACCTTCACAGAAGCATACACGAAGCTTGGCCTGGCACTGAACATCGAGAAAACCAAAGTGCTGAGGAGTCTTGTCACCAAGGTGAAAGAAGAAAGGGCAAAAGCTGGGTTGCAGCTAAACATAAAAAAACCCAAGATGATGGCAGCCAGACTGATGGATAACTGGCAAATAGAGGGAGAAAACGTGGAGGTCGTGACAGGGTTTGTATTTCTAGGTGTGAAGATGACTGCAGATGCAGACTGAAGCCAGGAAATCAGAAGACGTTTCCTTCTTGGGAGGACAGCAATGGCCAATCTTGATCAAAGAGTGAACAGTAGAGATATCACACTGGCAACAAAGGTCTGCATAGTTACAGCAATGGTATTCCACATAGTAACCTATGGATGTGAGAGCTGGACCATAAGGAAGGCTGAGCGAAGGAATATAGAGGCTTTGGAACTGTGGTGCTGGAGAAAAGTGACGAGAGTGCCTTGGACCACGAGAAGATCAAACCAGTTCATCCTCCAGGAAAGAAAGCCCGGCTGCTCACTGGAGGGAAGGATATTAGAGGCAAAGATGAAGTCCTTTGGCCACATAATGAGAAGACAGGAAAGCTTGGAGAAGAGAATAATGTGACGTGAGAATAATAAGGGAAGGGAAAAGGAAGAGGGGACGAGCAAGGGAAAGGGGGATGGATGGTATCCTTGAAGTGACGGGCTTGACCTTGAAGGAGATGGGGGTGGCCATCGCTGACAGGGAGCTCTGGCCTGGGCTGGGCCAGGAGGGCACCAAGAAGCGGAAGCCACCGAACGAATAAACAACAACAACAATAATAATATTGAAATAATAACATATAATAATAATAATAATAATAATAATAATAATAATACAAAACAATAAAATAATATAATAAAATATTCAAATACTGTAATATTATAAAATAATATAATAATAAAATATTCAAATACTGTAATATTATAAAATAATATAATAATAAAATATAGGGACCTCCAACATGGTCCAAAGACGCTTATTGCTCCGTAAGTGTACAAACCATGTATAAATATGTGAGGTCTCTTCCAGCTCTTTGATTCTATGATTCTATGAAACTATGCAAGGTTTTTTGTTATTTTTTGTTGTGTCAGGAGCGACTTGAGAAACTGCAAGTCGCTTTTGGTGTGAAAGAATTGGCCGTCTGCAAGGACGTTGCCCAGGGGACGCCCGGATGATTTGTTTTTATCATCCTTGTGGGAGGCTTCTCTCATGTCCCCGCATGAGGATCTGGAGCTGATAGAGGGAGCTCATCCGCCTCTCCCCGGATTCGAACCTGCGACCTGCCGGCACAGGGGTTTAACCCACTGCACCACCGGGAGCTCCCTATGCAAGGTTAAGAAGATGAACAACAGTTGACTGATTTAATACACAGTTGGATGGAATTAGCAACAGTTAAACAGATTAAAACAGGGGATTAAAACTGATTGAAGCCATACAAGATGGCTAGGGGAATAGGGAAAAGACAGCAAAAGGTACGAAGCATGTTCCAGCCTGTGTCTAAAAGAATTGTCTAATCCTGGCTGCCTCAGAAAAAAACTTGGCAACTGCCAGGATCACGTGGGGAAGGTCATCACCAAGTAAAACTTCACATAAAATTTCACTAGACTGGCCAGTATGTTTCTGAGTAGGTGGTGGATTGTGTATGCTTCGAGTTGCATGACAGTAGAATAAAAACTGCATGACAGCAGAATGTGGGACATGCAGTCTACTTCCTGTTTGTTACATGGGGAGAATCTTTCTTTCTTTATATGGTGTATCTGCAAGTCTCCCATGCAGCAGTTCAGACAGGAAAACGTTAGAATCATAGAATCAAAGAGTTGGAAGAGACCTCATGGGCCATCCAGTCCAACCCCCTGCCAAGAAGCAGGAATATTGCATTCAAATCACCCCTGACAAATGGCCATCCAGCCTCTGTTTAAAAGCTTCCAAAGAAGGAGCCTCCACCACACTCCGGGGCAGAGAGTTCCACTGCTGAACGGCTCTCACAGTCAGGAAGTTCTTCCTCGTGTTCAGATGGAATCTCCTCTCCTGTAGTTTGAAGCCATTGTTCCGTCCTAGTCTCCCAGGAAGCAGAAAACAAGCTTGCTCCCTCCTCCCTATGACTTCCTCTCACATATTTATAATGGCTATCATGTATCCTCTCGACCTTCTCTTCTTCAGGCTAAAAATGCCCCAGCTCTTTAAGCCGCTCCTCATAGGGCTTGTTCTCCAGACCCTTGATCATTTTAGTCGCCCTCCTCTGGACACATTCCAGCTTGTCAATATCTCTCTTGAATTGTGGTGCCCAGAATTGGACACAATATTCCAGGTGTGGTCTAACCAAGGCAGAATAGAGGGGTAGCATGACTTCCCTAGATCTAGACACTATGCTCCTATTGATGCAGGCCAAAATCCCATTGGCTTTTTTTGCCGCCACATCACATTGTTGGCTCATGTTTAACTTGTTGTCCACGAGGACTCCAAGATCTTTTTCACACGTACTGCTCTCGAGCCAGGCATTGTACCCCATTCTGTATCTTTGCATTTCGTTTTTCCTGCCAAAGTGGAGTATCTTGCATTTGTCACTGTTGAACTTCATTTTGTTAGTTTCGGCCCATCTCTCTAATCTGTCAAGATCGTAGGCAATGGTATTTGACCACAGTCAAGTTCTTTAGATAGTATTCGGGAAATACGTTGTGCACCAACAGAGGATGAAGATTTCCTTGGGTTTGAAAGGAGTTCTGGGTCTGGGAGTGAAATGGAAGAAGAAGAAGAGTTAGATTAGATCCGTGTGCAACACATAAGAGATATCTGTAACCAACCCACCTCTAGTGAGGAATTTGAGGGGTTCACTGGGGATTGGCAGCCAGGGGACTCTTGGTAGGATCTGAACCCTGATACTCGTTGGCAGAGGTGGAGGGATGGGCATTCAGCTGCAAATTTGGGAGCAGCTGAGAGTGATGACGAGAGGGTGGGGAGCTCATCAAGCTCTGAGGAAGAACTTTGAGATAAAAGTGGGTTCAGTTTGGACTATATTTCACAGAAGGCAAAGTGTCTTCATGGGACATAATTCTTTGTACTGCCAACTTTCCATCTTGGGTTCTGGGCTTTAGCTTCGTGTGTTCCTGTGCTCCTGTTTTCTTGGTGACTCCAGCGTTCCAGCCTTGCTTCTCAACGGATTGACCACGGACCGGTTTGACTTCGCTTTTGGACTTCTGGACTTTGTATGCTTATATTTTTGTGACTGTAACAATTCTTAGTTCTGAAACTACGTTTTTCCAGCTTCAAAGACTGCGTTTTTGTACTATTTTGACTTTCAAGCAATTTGCTTCATCTTTTGTTTAATGCGGATTATTAGGCAGCGCTATAATCCGGATTATATTTTTGTTACTCCTATCGACTTATTTTTGGTACCAAATTGCTCCAGCGGGCCTTAGCACTGAAGTTAAGTGCTTTGTAGGTCCTTTTATTTGCAATAAAGCTGTGTTTGATCCTTTATTCTGTGTCTGGCGTTGTTTAAGGCTTCTGGGTTCTGACAGTAAACACGTCACTTGTAGAAGTCGACAGATTGCTCCTAAAGCCACGTTGTCAGAGTCTCATCACCTGAGAAATGCCTGCCCTTCAAACATAAATTTCTTGTTGGAAAAAGGTGGAAATCCTATGGTGTGAGGTCGGGTAAATCAGGGAGAAGAGGTAGAATTTCAAAGCCACAAGAGCATGCTTCTTCCATTTGGGCAACATGGGAGCTGTGCACTGGTGCATTGTCTTGCAGAAGGCAAACACTTTTGGTGAGCCGGCCACATTGTCTCTTGGTTGGATGGCTTCCCGCAATGTCCGCAGCGTGAAGCCTAGTCTGCCCCAGTGATCATAGTTCCTTTTGCTAGGAAATCCATCCATCCTCCTCCAGTCTCGTCCCAAAATACTGTGAGCATGACCTTGCCTGCTGAGAGTTGCCTTCTTTGGAAGCGGTGAGTCATGATGCTTCCATTGCTTCGACTGGGTTTTAGTCTCAGGATCAGAGTGATGGACCCAGCTTTTACCCTGTGTGATCAGTCTGTTGAAGAAGTCCTCCTGGTTTCCATGGCATATTATTGTCAATAGAGCCTGAGAGCTTTCAACTCGTTCCTGCTTCTAGAAAAAGATGAGCAGCCGGGGGACCCAGTGAGCGGATCCCTTATGCAGGTTAAGATGGTCTTGGATTATTTTTTTCCACGGACCCCAAATTCATTTTGACATTTGGGGCAAGGTAGCAAATGGTTATGCGGTGATTTTCCAAAATGGTGATCTCTACTTGCTGGATGATGTGTTCATCAACAATACAGTGGGATCACCCTGGAATTGGAGCTTTTTGCACCAAACTTCAACCACAATTGAATTGACTATGCCAGTTCTTGACTCCATCCTATGATGGGGAATCGTCACCATAAATCTCTTTCATCTCATCGAACATCTCCTGGTGGCGGTCTTTCAAGGAAAGGAACTTGATGACTGCTCTATATTCCACTGGGTCCATTCTCAAACCTCAATTCACTTCTGCACTTGTATTATTATTATTATTATTATTATTATTATTATTATTCTTTATTTGTACCCCGCTAGCATCTCCCGAAGGACTCGATGCAGCTTACAAAGGCCAAGGCCTCAAAAACAGAGCATAACAAATACACAACTCAAAGCAAATCAAAACAATTAAAGCAATATCAAAAACAACAGAACAATAAAACAATACACCAAACACAATAAAACTGGGGCCGAGCCAAATGTAATGGGTACAGATTAAAAGTGCTGATGTGACAGGTGGTATGTCGGATTTTAGGGTAAGTGCAGTGTGCAAGCAGTCTTAAAGTCTAATAAAGTGCTTCTGGGACAGGTTGTTGGAGTTTTCCTATTCTGGAAAGGCACATCGGAACAGCCAGGTCTTCCAAGTTCTTCCTAAAGACTGCCAACGTAGGGGCCTGTCTAATGTCTTTGGGGAAGGTGTTTCAGAGTCGGGGGGCCACCACAGAAAAGGCCCTGTCTCGCATCCCCACCAGACACGCCTGCGACGCAGGGGGAATCGCAAGCAAGGCCTCTCCAGATGAGCGAAGAGAACGCGTGGGTTCATAAACGGAGATGCGGTCACGAAGGTAGGATGGTCCCAAACCATTTAGGGCTTTGTAGGTAAGCACCTGCACCTTGAATTGGGCTCGGAAGATAATCGGCAGCCAGTGGAGCTCCCTGAACAGGAGGGTTCACCTCTCTCTGTAGGGAGCACCAGTTAACATCCTGGCCACCGCTCGTTGGACCAGTTGAAATTTCCGAACCATTTTCAAGGGCAGCCCCACATAGAGTGCATTACAGTAGCCCAATCTAGAGGTGACCAAGGCATGGACCACCCTGGCCAGATCAGCCTTTGCGCAGTTGGCGCACGAGTCTCAATTGTGCAAAAGCCCTCCCGGACACCGCCGACGCCTGAGCCTCAAGCGTAAGTGATGAATCCAGACTGCGGACCTGTGACTTCAGGGGGAGTGTCACCCCGTCCAACACAGGTTGCCACCCTATACCCCGGTCAGGTTTACGATCGACCAGGAGGACCTCTGTCTTGTCGGGATTGATCTTCAGCTTGTTCATCCTCATCCAGATAGACACAGCGGCCAGGCACTCGTCCAGCACCCGAAGGGCCTCCTTGGAATTAGGTGGAAATGAGTATTAGAGTTGTGTGTCATCCGCATAGAGATGGCACCTAACTCCAAAACTCCGGATGACCTCTCCCAGCGGTTTCATGTAGATGTTAATAAGCATGGGAGACAGAATAGAGCCTTGCGGGACCCCACAGGTCAAAGGCCAGGGGTCCGAGCAGGCGTCTCCCAGCTTCTCCATCTGGGATCGACCCTCCAGGAAGGACCGGAGCCACGACAGAACCGTGCCCCCGAGACCCATCCCAGAGAGTCGACCCAGAAGGATACCATGATCGATGGTATCGAAAGCCGCTGAGATGTCCAAGAGAACCAACAGAGTCACACTCCCCCTGTCCAGCTCTCTACGGAGGTCATCCACCAAGGCGACCAAGGCCGTCTCCATGCCGTGACCAGGCCTGAAACCAGACTGTGACTGATCTAGGTAGTTGTTGTCATCTAGAAAGCCCTGGAGCTGGGAGGCAACTACCCGCTCCAGCACCTGTACAATCAAGACCATTCTCAATCCTGAGTTGTAAATTGGCATGTAATCTATAGAGACTTATATTATTACACATGTGCAGTTTCAGCGTCCTGTGATAAACAGAAGTGGGTCAGGGGAAATATTTAATTAACGCCCCTCGTATATAACAATAACAATAATAATACTGACTGTTAGGAACTGTGGGAGTACAAAACACCTGGAAGGAGGGTGAAGTTGGCCCGTACTCATGCTAGACTGGGTCCAGGCCTGCCGCAAGGGCCTCCTACCTGTGCAGCCTTCTCCGTCAGGGCGGCGCTGCATCCCGGGTGGACAGATGCAGGCAAAGGTGCCAATGAGGTTTTTGCACATCATGCCTTGGGCCTCGCAGTCGTCCAGGCCTTCCGCGCATTCATCCAGGTCTGCGGAGGGAGGAGGGAAGGAGGAGAGAATAAGTTGGGGGGGGGGGGCACAGAACAAAGTTGCCCTTGAAGACTAGCGGGAAGCCTGCTCTAAGGCAGAGCTGCCCAAACAGAGCGTCCATTTTCAAAACCCTACAGTATTTGCTGCCAAATGTCATGCGCAGCGGCAAAAGGGAAGGAACCCTCTTTGTCATGTGGCCATTACAGTGGCAACCTGCTTATACTTCCTTCTTTAAAAGAACACCAAAGCTTCCAGCAATGGAAAAGGAAAGGGAAGGAAAAGGAAAGCCTTGGGGTGCATCTCTGCTGCAGAATGAATCCCCTCTAATTGCCTTGGTTCAATGCTATGGAGTCCTGGGGGATGTAGCCTATGCAAACTCCAAATCGCAGAGTCCCATGGCATGGAGTTCTTGCCATGCAATGAGAGGCTGGTTCACCTTTGCACATCCTGCGGTCAAGTCGCAAGGTATACCCGGAGGGGCAGGTGCACTCGTAGGAGCCCAGGGCATTGAGGCAGCGGAAGGCGCACAGCAGCGGGTTCAAGGCGCACTCGTTGATGTCTGCGCAGAGCAGAAAGGGAGAGAAAGAAAGGGGTTGGGATGACACTGCCAGCAGGGATAGAACCAGACCAGCATAGAATTGGAATGGGGCCTCCAAAGGGGGTTGGGCCTCCAATCCACCACCCTTTTGCCCTTATGGAGGAAAACCCCAATCAAAGCCCGCACCCCATCCCAACGTATGGCCATCCAACCTCTGCTTAATAATAGTACAACTATAGTATCCTAGAGTTAAAAGGGAACCCCAAAGGCCATCTAGTCCAACTCCCTTTTGCTATTATGCAGGAAAAGCATAATCAGAGCCCCTGACAGATGGGTATCCTGCCTCAATAATGATAATAATAATAATAATAATAATAATAATAATAATAGAATCCTATGGAAGGGACCCCAAAGCCCAACCAGCCCAACCTTCTTCTGCCTTCATGCAGGAAAAGCACCATCAGAGCCCTCCCGAGAGATGGTCATCCAGCTTAGAGTTGTTATTATTGACGACTGACCACTGTAATTATGACTGTGTTGTTGTTCATTCGTTCAGTCGTCTCCGACTCTTCGTGACCTCATGGACCAGCCCACACCAGAGCTCCCTGTCGGCCGTCACCACCCCCAGCTCCTTCAAGGTCAGTCCAGTCACTTCAAGGATGCCATCCATCCATCTTGCCCTTGGTCGGCCCCTCTTCCTTTTTCCTTCCACTTTCCCCAGCATAATTGTCTTCTCTAGGCTTTGCTGTCTCCTCATGATGTGGCCAAAGTACTTCAACTTTGTCTCTAGTATCCTTCCCTCCAGTGAGCAGTCGGGCTTTATTTCCTGGAGGATGGACTGGTTGGATCTTCTCGCAGTCCAAGGCACTCTCAGCACTTTCCTCCAACACCACAGCTCAAAAGCATCGATCTTCCTTCGCTCAGCCTTCCCTAAGGTCCAGCTCTCACATCCGTAGGTTACTACAGGGAATACCATGGCTTTGACTATGCGGATCTTTGTTGCCAGTCTGATGTCTCTACTCTTTATTATTTTATCGAGACTGGACATTGCTCTCCTCCCAAGAAGTAAGCGTCTTCTGATTTCCTGGCCACAGTCTGCATCTGCAGTAATCTTTGCGCCTAAATACTATTTTAATGTTTTAGTGTAATTTGGAGTATGATGTTTTAATGATTGTTTGTAATATTGTTGTTGGAAGCCAGTCTGAGTCCCTCGATGGAGGTGAGAAGACCCGTATACAAAACTGCTGTTGTTGTTCATTCGTTCAGTCGTCTCCGACTCTTCGTGACCTCATGGACCAGCCCACGCCAGAGCTCCCTGTTGGCCGTCACCGCCCCCAGTTCCTTCAAGGTCAGTCCAGTCACTTCAAGGATGCCATCCATCCATCTTGCCCTTGTTCGGCCCCTCTTTCTTTTTCCTTCCACTTTCCCCAGCATAATTGTCTTCTCCGGGCTTTGCTGTCTCCTCATGATGTGGCCAAAGTACTTCAACTTTGTCTCTAGTATCCTTCCCTCCAGTGAGCAGCCGGGCTTTATTTCCTGGAGGATGGACTGGTTGGATCTTCTCGCAGTCCAAGGCACTCTCAGCACTTTCCTCCAACACCACAGCTCAAAAGCATCGATCTTCCTTCGCTCAGCCTTCCATTATTATTATTATTATTATTATTATTATTATTATTATTATCATCATCATCATCATCATCATCATCATCATTCTAATCCTGTTGCCTTCCCTCCCCATTTGGTCCCATCTGCAAACTTGATAGGAAGGAGGCCCTCTAAATCTTCAATCAAGTCATTGATGTTGAATGGTACTGAAAGACCCAGGACAGGACCCTTTTTTAGGCACCCAAAGAGCCTCCCCCTCCCTCCACTAAGCAGCCCCAAGGCCTGACCTTCACAGGTCATCATGGGTCCCGGCTCGAAGCCCTCGTCGCAGGTGCACTCGAAGCCCCCCACCACGTTGGTGCAAGTCCCGTTCCCACAGGGGTTCCCGATGGAGCACTCGTCCGTGTCTGCGTGGGAAGAAAGGAAGGCATTTGAATAAAAGGAGGCGTATCCCTGAGGAATGTCAGAGGAGAGAGAGGGATTTGAATAAAAAGAGTCATGTCCCTGAGAAGTGTAAGGGAAAGGAGGAGAGAATGGAGAGGGGTTTGCATAAAAGAGGTTGTGTCCCTGAGGAGTGTCCAGGGATAGGAGGAGGGGATAGAGAGAGATTTGAATAAAAAGGGGTGTGGGAGACAATAAAGGACAAATGTGGTCAATATAACTGGCTCCTTTGGAATGGGCTGAAACAAAGGATCACAAATTGGAGGAAAAAGGAAGGCCTAGAATCAAATTTTGATCAAATTTTAAAGTGGAAATTAGAAAAGGAGAAAGGCCTGATGGAGTTCATATACAAGAAATTAGTTGGAAAACAATACAATTTGAAAGAAACATTGGTAGAGATATGGAAAGAGGACCTGAATAACAATGATTTGGACATTGAACACTGAATCAATTCAATCAAAAATATCAAGTACGTAAGGATTAGAGAAACACAAAGGAAAATACTGACGAAATAGTACAGAACCCCAATTACATTAGCGCACATAACTAAATCAACCACAAAATTGTGTTGACACAGATGTGGAAAAATTGGCTCCTGTATACATTTATGGTAGGAATGTGACAGAGTACAAAAAATTTATAATAAGGTAAAGAAGGAAATGGAAGAATAAATAGGGCAGTGGTTCTCAAGCTGGGGGTCGGGACCCCTGTGGGGGTCGCGAGGGGGTGTCAGAGGGGTCACCAAAGACCATCAGAAAACAGTATTTTCTGTTGGTCATGGGGGTTCTGTGTGGGAAGTTTGGTCCAATTCTATCATTGGTGGGGTTCAGAATGCTATTTCATTGTGGGTGAACTATGAATCCCAGCAACTACAACTCCCAAATGGCAAGGTCTATTTTCTCCAAACTCTACCAGTGTTCACATTTGGGCATATTGATTATCTGCGCCAAGTTTGATCCAGATCCATCACTGTTTGAGTCCACAGTGTTCTCTGGATGTAGGTGAACTACAACTCCAAAAACTCAAGTTCAGTGTCCACCAGACTCTCCCAGTATTTCTCTCGGCCATGGGAATTCTGTGTGCCAAGTTTGATTCAATTCCATCATTGGTGGAGTTCAAAAGGCTCTTTGATTTTAGGTGAACTATAAATCCCAGCAACTCCAACATTCCCAAATGACAAAATCAATCCCCTCCAACCCCACCAGTATTCAAATTTGGGCGTATCAGGTGTACAGAAGTCATTGATACTGTGTATATGTTTAACTGTTAAAATATATTCGTATTGGTAACAGTAGCTGAAAGCTAGAGCTAACTGGTTGTATCCACAGTGCGGTTGCCAAGGAGACCAGGCAAGAGAGTGAGAAGTGGGCGGAGCCAAGCAAGAGAATGTTATCTGCGTCTTTGAAAAGAAGCAGTTCAGTTGGTGTTAGGAAGTCGGAGTTAGCAGTTGAGAGAGGAGAGCGGAGAGTGGAGAAGCAGTGTGTGTGATATAACTGGAGGTTTCTTCAGTCTAGGAAGGCTGAAGGGGGAAACCTAATTAATTTCTTTAGTCAGAGAGGACTAAGGGAAGCTTGTTTAGATCACTAGTTAGGAAAGAACTAGAGATTTAGGATTTGATCAAGAAGGATCAAATTAGAAGGCTATTCACATTAGGAAACATTGTTTAATAAAGTGCTTCACCACAGTAAAGTCAATCACAAGTTGTATCATCTAGAAGAGTGAACTGTATTGCAAACCAAGTTACATTCAAAGTTCTCTAAGTTATTCCAAGTTATTTAACAGCCTGCAACCATACCAGTTCTCATCGGCAATACCTCACGTTGGTGGCAGTTACCTTAAATTACATCCATAATCATCCACACCTGTATAATTGGTGGCAGAATTTAAGAACAGTCTGTGAAATTGGTGACAGAGGGTGGGTTCTTTAAAGTTAAAAACCCTATACCCTGTTTGTTGTTGGAATAGCACCTTCGCAATTGGCACAATTGTACAACTGGTGCGTGCAGACTTCGCAAATATGGTGTCAGAGGTGGGATAGACTTCGCAGCAACTCCATCATTGGTGAAGTTCAAAAGGCTCTTTGATTTTAGGTGAACTATAAATCCCAGCAACTCCAACATTTCCAAATGACAAAATCAATCCCCTCCAACCCCACCAATATTCAAATTTGAGTGTATCAGTTATCTGTGCCAAATTTGGTCCAGTGAATGAAAATGCATCCTGCATATCAGATGTTTATATTACGATTCATAACAGTAGCAAATTAAAGAAGTAGCAACGAAAATAACGTTATGGTTGGGGGTCACCACAAGGTGAGAACCTGTACTAAGGGGCTGCGGCATTAGGAAGGTTGAGAACCACTGAAATAGGGCATAAATTGGTTTTGAATAAAAAAGAAAATTTCACTCAGAAATTAGACAAGAATGAAAACATAAAAAACTGGAGGGAAATTAAAACATACATGATAGTTGTCGCCCAAGCAACTGTGGTCTTGGGGTGGAAAGACCATAGAAAGTGGGAAGTGAGAAGTGTCCAGGGATAAGAGGGCAGAGAGAGGGATTTGCATAAAAGGGGGCGTGTCCCTGAGACGTGTCCAGGGATAAGAGGGCAGAGAGAGGGGTTTGCATAAAAGGGGGTGTGTCTCTGAGAAGACGGGGATAGGAGAAGAGAAGAGAGGGATTGGAATAAAAGGGGGCATGTCCCTGAGCTCCTCCTTCTCACCCACACACTGGACGCCGGTGTAGTCCAGGTTGTACCCGAAGGGGCACTCGCAGCGGAAGGATCCGTCAGTGTTGATGCAGGCCCCATTGATGCAGATGCCGGGGTTCTCGGCGCATTCATTCACATCTGGAAGGGAAGCGGGACAAAGGAGGGAGGGAGGTGACTCTTCCCAATCCAGTCCAAGCCAGCAACAAAGCAAATCAGGGCGCCAAGAGGTCCCTTTCCCTCGTATCTTTCTTCTAGCGTGTTGCAATGTTGCAACAACGAACCCTCTCACCTTCCCTGGTGTCTCCTGGTCCTGGGATGGCCCCATGGCCGTAAGGGCACAGCTCCTGGAAAGCGACTGGAGGAAAAAGAGAGGGAGGCATTACAGCCATTGTATTGAAACACAAACAAGGGAATACCCACACCACTCCATCCGTCTTATTTGCATCTATCTATCTATCTATCATCTACCCACCCATCCACCCATCCATCCATCCATCCATCCATCTTGTATCAATCTATACATCTGTATTGTCCAAGGCTTTCATGGCTGGAATCACTAGGTTTTTGTAGGTTTTTCAGGCTATATGGCCATGTTCTAGAAGCATTATCTCCTGACTTTTCTCCTGCATCTGTGGCAAGCATCCTCAGGGGTTGTGAGGTCTGTTGGAACTAGGAAAATTGGGTTTATATATCTGTGGAATCCCCCTCTGGCCTCCTTTAACAGCCAGGATGGGCAGGGGTCTAGGATGCATGTGGTTGCCCTCACTTCTCCAAGAATCTTGTCCACATCCTCGGGTTTCACCAATTGAAATGAATCCATTAAAACCGGACAAGCAGATGCTCGTGTTACATCCTCAGAGATTGGCGTTAACATGGTGTCCAGGCCAGAACGGATCAAAGCAACTTTGTCTGCGAAGAACCGAGCAAACGCTTCACAGCGGGCTGCCAAGTTGTCAGGGCTCCCATCTGCAGAGGTGGGATTTAATAGGCCTTTGACAACTCGAAACAGCTCCGCCGGACGGTTCTTTGCGGACGCAATATTGGCCGGGTCTGAACGCCACAAACTCTCTAGTTCCCTCTTCCTTCACTTCATCGCTGCCAGCTCCCCGTTGAACCAAGGAGATGGTTTAGATCGGCTACTTGAGAGAAGACGTTCCAGAGCAATCGTGTCTATTGCTCTAGTCATCTCCTCATTCCAGAGAGAGACCAGGGCATCAACAGGATCACCTACAGAAGTGGCGAGAAACTCCCCAAGAGCCGTCAAGAATCCCTCGGGATCCATAAGACTCCTGGGGCGGACCATCTTAATCGGTCCTCCACCCCTGCGGAGGTTAGAGGATGCAGTGAGTCTAAACTTGATCAGGTGATGGTCGGTCCATGGCAACGGAGCAATAGTCAATTCCTCTACACCCCCACCATTCTCCCATCCCTGGCAGAAAACCAAGTCTAAGGTGTGTCCAGCCTTGTGAGTAGGGCCAGATATCAGTTGGGACAGCCCCATGGTCGCCATGGAAGACATGAAGTCCTGAGCTGCTCCTGATAGGGTAGCCTCAGCGTGAATGTTGAAGTCCCCCAGCACAATAAGCCGTTGGGACTCCAACACCAGGCTTGAGACTATCCCAGCTAGCTCAGGTAGGGAGACTGTAGTGCAGCGGGGTGGACGGTACACTAACATTATCCCTATTCTGTCCCGGTCACCTGCCTTCAAGTGGACACATTCAAAAATGGTTGACAGCAGGATGGGGCACCTGGTCAGGGAGATGGCATCCCTATGGACCACTGCAACCCCGCCTCTCCGCCCCCCAGATCTCGGTTGGTGCTGCACGGAGTAACCTGGTGGACAAAGCTGGGTCAGATTTACACCTCCAGCCTCATGCAACCAGGTCTCCGTTATGCACGCCAGATCTGCCTGTTCATCCAAGATTAGATCTTGGATGAAAGTTGTTTTACCATTGACAGATCTGGCGTTCAACAGCACCACCTTTAATCCGGAGGGACGGCCGTCCTGGGTACTCCAATTTACCATGTCAGGAGACCGATTTGGAACTACTAATGTCACACAATCCCTAGGCCGAATTAATGGTCTCCCTTAATAAATGGTCTCTCTTAATAACTACCGACCTACCCATCCATCTTACATCTATCTATCTATCTATCCATCCACGCATCCATCACAGCCATAGCTACATCATATTTGTATCTATCTCTTGTGTCTATCAGTCATATTTGCATGCCACCTTTCTCGTAGAGCTGGGTTTCAGGCGCCCCCAGGATCCACCAAGCAATGCAATTACCCTGGAGATGGCTGTGCATCTCTGCAGGGAAGCCCCTTGTTCCTGCCCATGGGTCCAATCCATGAGTATCTATCTACTTGTCTCTGTCCCTGGGAGGGGTGTCTGTCTGCCTCATGGTCCTACCATTCCCCTCCTGAGGGCACAACTCGCAGGGGTCTCCCCAGCCTTCTCCGGGCATCTTGCTGCAGCAGCACCGGGCCTTGGTGGTGTTGAAGGCCTTGGGCACAGAGCATTTCCCGTGGTCAAAGCGGGTGAAGCAGAAGCTCTGGCGCGTGTCTGCAAGAAATAACAATAAAAACAATTAAAATACTTTATTTATAACCCACCCTATCTCCATGAGGGGACTCAAGAAAGGCAAGGTGGCGGGTGAGGAAACGGCCGCTGTTTTCTCTCTCGCTCCCCCATTACACCATGTAACAAAACTGGGAGGGGGGGGGGGGTCCTGTTCCTGGTTTGAACGTGCTATTCCTGTTTAATTGTGCAGTCCTTGCTTTGGAAGTCATCATCCTACTCAAGACTTTGTTGTTGTTGTGGCTGCTGCAAACTAGGTTGCATTGGTTGAGATTCGATGATGAGAGACTAATTGAAACACTAGAGCAAAATGTGCTATAGCAGGATGATGTCCCTCCTGCAAAAACCAAGTTTTGACAGTTTAATAAACTTTTCCCATGTTTTTTGAGAGAGCCAATTAGAAAATGACTTAGATGACACAAGGAAAAAAATGTGGTACATAGTGTAATAATATATAATAATAATAATAATAATAATAATAATAATGATAATATACTAAATCAATAAACTACTATTAACAATAATAAAAACAGTAATATAATAAAATAATAAATTATAGTAATACTAATGTAATGTATATAATAATAAATTATAATAATATTAGAATTGCATAAATAATATAACATAATATAGTAATAATAAATTATAATAATACTGATATTATATATATTTAGTATTGTTGTAGTACAGCCAGGGAAATGATGCTTCTCCCTGGGTCAGTCAGAGGAGCCAGAAACTTCAACATTAGATAAGGACTAGAGTGAAGTGATACCGAAGGCTCCCAGAGAAAAACACTGGAGCTAGGGAGATCAACAAAGTCTTTGTTTACAGATCAGAGCAGGAAAATATTCAATGATGTTCAGAGTGATTTCATGGGAAAATTGGGGGAAAAAATCATGGGAAAAGAAGTGATTTTATGAGTGCCAATTAATTAGCAAGTTGTTCACCTAAGGGTTAGGTCAGGCAACATAGTGCTCAAGTGAGAAGCAAGGCCTGAGTTCTCTGGTTCTTGTTTCAAGTCAAGCCTCAGTTTTGGATTCAAGTATCCTGGAAGTTTTCTATGTTCTTGTTTTTATATTCCTGCTCAAGTTTTACTAAGTATACCTTTTGCTTGTGTAGAACAACGATGTTCAATGGAAGGACCCGCACAATTAAACAGGAATGACACTTTCAAACTAGGAACAGAATACTGTTCACTTTTTGTTACATAGCACAATAATAAATACGAGAATGGAGACTATTCAAGAGAGGATGTGGCCAAAGGGCCTCACTCACCGAAGCAGCGCCGCCCGTTGTCTGAGAGGACGAAGCCTGGTGGGCAGATGCACTGGAAGCTGCCGGGGGCATTGGTGCAGGTGCCGAAGAGGCAGATGTTAGGCTCCTCCTCGCACTCGTTGATATCTGCAATCCCACAGAACAAGGCCTTAGCAAGGTGGAGTCAATGTCCTCTTCCGTCCCAACACTATGAGGACGAGGCACAACTACCAAAGGCAAACCATTCAAGAGCACACTAGGTTCAAGCTGACTAACAAAGAAACTGGGATGATGGTCTCACTGGGAGTCAAAGCTCTTCTGGGCTCTTGAATCATAGAATCATAGAATCAAAGAGTTGGAAGAGACCTCATGGGCCATCCAGTCAACCCCCTGCCAAGAAGCAGGAATATTGCATTCAAATCACCCCTGACAGATGGCCATCCAGCCTCTGTTTAAAAGCTTCCAAAGAAGGAGCCTCCACCACACTCCGGGGCAGAGAGTTCCACTGCTGAACGGCTCTCACAGTCAGGAAGTTCTTCCTCATGTTCAGATGGAATCTCCTCTCTTGTAGTTTGAAGCCATTGTTGCGCGTCCTAGTCTCCAGGGAAGCAGAAAACAAGCTTGCTCCCTCCTCCCTGTGGCTTCCTCTCACATATTTATACATGGCTATCATATCTCCTCTCAGCCTTCTCTTCTTCAGGCTAAACATGCCCAGATCCTTAAGCCGCTCCTCATAGGGCTTGTTCTCCAGACCCTTGATCATTTTAGTCGCCCCTCTGGACACATTCCAGCTTGTCAATATCTCTCTTGAATTGTGGTGCCCAGAATTGGACACAATATTCCAGGTGTGGTCTAACCAAAGCAGAATAGAGGGGTAGCATTACTTCCCTAGATCTAGACACTATGCTCCTATTGGTGCAGGCCAAATCCCATTGGCTTTTTTTGCCGCCACATCACATTGTTGGCTCATGTTTAACTTGCTGTCCACGAGGATTCCAAGATGTTTTTCACATGTACTGCTCTCGAGCCAGGCTTCCCCCATTTTGTATCTTTGCATTTTGTTTTTCCTGCCAAAGTGGAGTATCTCGCATTTGTCACTGTTGAACTTCATTTTGTTAGTTTTGCCCATCTCTCTAATCTGTCAAGATCGTTTTGAATTCTGCTCCTGTCCTCTGGAGTATTGGCTATCCCTCCCAATTTGGTGTCATCTGCAAACTTGATGATCCTGCCTTCTAGCCCTTCATCTAAGTCATTAATAAAGATATTGAACAGGACCGGGCCCAGGACGGAACCCTGCTTGTGGCACTCCACTTGTCACTTCTTTCCAAGATGAAGAGGAAGCATTGGTGAGGACTCTCTGGGTTCGTCCATTTTGGGCCAGTTCTGGAATGTACCGAGTCCTCATCCTTTTGTAATACAGGCCATTCCCCAATTTACTAACATTTGACTTACAAATGACTCCTAGTTAAGGACAGGGCTGGACTGGATGGCCTTTGGGGGTCCCAAATCTAGGATACTATATCTATCTGAAACACACACACAGGCAGTCCTGAGTTGCAAACATCTGACTCACAAACAACACACAGTTAAGAACAGGGCTGGACTGAATGGCTTCCACATCTAGGATACTATACATATCTTAAGAAGCCACATTTGGCAAATGGCCTCCGTCCCAGGCAAACTATGGGCTCCTAAGGAGGTCTAAGGCATGATGTTGCATGCTGTGTCCCTTGGGCTGCTCACCAATGCAGTTGTCGTTCTGGACCTCGTAGCCCGGGGGGCAGATGCAGCGGAAAGAGCCCTCCAGGTTCTGGCAGGTCCCTGGAGAACAGGTCCCCGGGAGGCTGATGCACTCATTCACGTCTGCAGAAGATGGACAGATGGAGGGGGAGGGAGGAGTCAGCATCACAATCGAGATCAGGAAGCCCCATCTATCCCATATTGGGAGCCCCCCCCCCGTGATACAGTCAATGAAGGAGACACGCCCTTTTTATGCAAATCCCTCTCAAACCTCTCCTCCTACCCTTTCCTTTTTAGAGTGACACTTCTCAGGGACACGCCCCCCTTATGCAAATCCCTCTCCATTCCCTCCTCCTATCCCAACATTTCTCAGACATGCCCCCTTTTATGCAAATCTCTCTCTCTCCTCTCCACTTATCCCAACAGTTATCAGCGACACACCCCCTTTTATGCAAATCCCTCTCCATTCCCACCTCCTATCCCCTGACACTTCTCAGAGACATACCCCCTTTTATTGAAATCCCACTCAATTCTGCCCTCCAATCCCCTTCTTGTGAGACCGACACACCTCAGGGACATGCCCCCTTTTATTTAAAGGCACGCACCCATGCAGTTCTTCCCGTCTGGCGTGTGCTCGTAGCCCTCTTGGCAGAGGCAGCGGAAGGAGCCCATGCTGTTGAGGCACCGCCCGTTGCGGCAGATCTGCCCGGCCAGCGAGGAGCATTCGTCCACGTCTGCAGGGAGGGGAGGGTGAAGTGAGTGGACATCCCCTGACCTGGTGACCTCCCCCAAGGCCCCGCCTCCTCTTCCTCTTCCTCACCCATACAGTCGTTGTTGTGGGTCAGCTCAAAGCCCGGGAAGCAGAGGCAGTTGTAGGAGCCCACTGTGTTCTTGCAGGTGCCGTTGCCACAGGGTTGCCGGTCACACTCGTCAATGTCTGCAAAGGGAGGGAGGGAGGCCAAGAGTCAAGCGGTTGTCACAACAGCCCTGCGAGGTTGGCTACAAAGATTTCACGTCCAGATGAAAGGAGAAGTTCCTAATACATTATTATGACTATTATTATCGCCTAGAGCATTCTCGGATGGAGGGCGATTAGTAAGTAATTAAATATGATGATGATGATTATTGTGTTGTCAAAGGCTTTCATGGCAGGAATCACAGGGTTGCTATGAGTTTTTTGGGCTGCCTGGCCATGTTCCAGAAGCATTCTCTTCTGACGTTTCGCACACATCTATAGCAGGCACCCTCAGAGGTTGTGAGGCCTGTTGGAAAGTAGACAAGTGGGGTTGATATACTTGTGGAATAATGTCCAGGGTGGGAGAAAGAACTCTTCTCTTTTGGATGCAAGTGGGAATGCTTCAATTGGCCACCTTGATTAGCATTGAACAGCCTGCAGTTTCAAGGCCTGGCTGCTTTGTGTCTGGGGGAATCCTTGGTTGGGAGGCGTTAGCTGGCCCTGAATGATTCTTGTCTGGAATTCCCCTGTTTTTTTTAGTGTTTAGCTGGTCTGAGTCCCTCTGTGGAGGTAGAGAAGATCGGGATATAAAAGTTTTAAATAATAATATTTACTATCCTGATTCTAGAGTTTTTTTAAATACTAGTTGGCAGATTGTGTATATTTTAATGGTTTCCTCCTTTCTGTTGAAATTGTCCCCATGCTTTTTGTGGATTTCAATGGATCCTCTGTGTAGTCTGACATGGGGGTTGTCCCAGTTGTCCAGCATTCCTGTGTTCCCAGATAATATGCTGTGTCCAGGTTGGTTCATCAAGTGCTCTGCTATGGCCGGCTTCTCTGGTCGGATTAGTCTGCAGTGCCATTTGTGTTTGGGCAATGCTGCGTTTGGGGGTCCCTATGTGAACTTCTCAATAGCTGCACAGTATACAATAGACTCCTACAGAGGGGAGAGTACTTCTTTTGTCCTTTTGCTGAACAGAGAATTTGTTGGATTTTCTTCTGTAGACAGATTGTAGGTTGTAATTCTTCCTCAGCTTCCCGATGCAGTCAGTGTTTCCCTTGATGTATGGTAAGAATACGTTTCCTCTGGGCGGATCTTTGTCTTGACTTTTGTGGCTTCTTCTTGACCTTGCAGCTCTTCTGATGTCTGTGGTGGAGTCTCCCATTGGCCTACAGAGCCCAGTTTAGGGGGTTCAGTTCCCCCTGGAGGCGGTGGGCTTCGCAGCTTCTTTTTGCACGGGCTTTGATTGTACTTCTTTTTTGACATGGGTGATGGTTGGAGTTTTTATGTCGGTATCTCTCCATGTGTGTAGGTTTTCTGTGAACTGTGAACTTTCCCAAATTGATGATCTGGTTTGCGCATGACTAGGACATCTAGAAGTGGCAGCTTTCCTTCATTTCCTTTTTCCATGGTGAATTAGGTGTTTGGGGGGGATGCTGTTGAGGTGGTCCAGGAACTTGTTGCATTCTTCTTCTCCATTGCTCCAAATGGGGAAGCTGTCATCCACATATCTGAACCATATAGTGGCCTTTTTTCTTGCTGCTTCCAGGGCTTGTTTTTCAAAGTGTTCCATCTAGAAATTTGCTATACAGCCCAGAAAACTCACAACAACCTATTACTAGGTAAAGGTAAAGGTAGTCCCCTGACATTAAGTCCAGTCATGTCTGACTCTGGGGTGTGGTGCTCATCTCCATTTCTAAGCCAAAGAGCCAGCGTTGTCCGTAGACACCTCCAAGGTCATGTGGCCGGCATGACTCCATGGAGCGCCGTTACCTTCCCGCCGGAGCGGTACCTATTGATCTACTCACATTTGCATGTTTTTGAACTGCTAGGTTGGCAGAAGCTAGGGCTGACAGCAGAAGCTCACGCCGCTCCCCGGAATCGAACCTGCGACCTTTCGATCAACAAGCTCAGCAGCTCAGTGCTTTAACCCACTGCACCACCAGGGGCTCCTTCAGCCTATTACTATTACTATTAAAATTATTATAGCTTATTCAGAGCAATTCCTAAACAATATGTCTGCCTTGTGAGGGCAGTCCTGTGAAGTAAACCAGAGTAATTCCCACCTTTGCAAGAAGAGGTCAGCAATACATCTTCATCATCACTATTATAGCATATTGGTAATATGTTAATAATAATAATAATAATAATAATAATAATAATAATATGGCTTATTCAAAGTCTTTCCCAAATAGCCTGCCTGACCTCCTTAGTAAGGAGGTTGGCCAATATGATCATTATTGTTATTTATTATTGTTATGTGTTTTTTGTTACAGCCAATTCTCTCACACCAGAAGCGACTCACAGCCTCTCAAGTGTCTCAAGTCGCTCCTGACACGACAAAAAAAAAAAAATGTTATGTGTGCATAGCCTACCTGGCCTCCTCAGCAACAGCCCAGGTCTGCCTATGTGAGTTACGTGACCCGGGCCCATTCACATGGGGAACACAGGGCTCTCCCTCCTACCCACCCATGCACATGGTCAGATCTCCGGTGGCCTTGAAGCCATTGAAGCAGATGCAGAGGAAACTGCCCTCAGTGTCCACACAGTCGCCGTGGCTGCAGACGTTGGGGATCTCCTGGCACTCATTGCGACCTGGAGCAGGGAAGAGAAGGAGGGGAGCATGCAGGGCGGGAGGACCACAGGAAGTAGACCCCCTGCTGGGCCTCCCCCATGGGCAGGGAGTGGACCCCCCCCCCCCGCCTTCTGCCTTACCCACACAGGCCCCACTGAGCGAGAGCTTGTACCCGGAGGCGCACTCGCACCGGTAGCTGCCAGGGATGTTCAGGCAGTCGGCGTTGCGCTGGCAAAGGCTCTCCCCACTGCTGCACTCGTCGATGTCTGTGCAAACAAAGGTGGACTATGTTACACTGTTCAACGGAGAAAAAGTTGCGGGCCTGAAAATAGTTTTTCTTTTATGATTTTGGGATGCTGAAAACGAAAATGACATTTAAAAATGTATATTGGCTCTAGTTTTTATGATATAAGCAATCACGTGATCACGTATGGTTGAAAAAATGCATGTTGCGACTTACACTATGGAAGATTCTAGAATACTCTAGAAAGTTTGATGATGCAGTATTAGTGCCGTGCGCAAAAGCCAGAAAGCCCTATATAAGGCCAGACTTTTGAATGGTGAGGGTCAGTCAGTTGAAGACTGAGACAGTATCGTTAAACATTGTTTTACATTGTTCTTTTTACTGTAGTTATGCCTCGCACGTTGGAAAAAAGATATCAAGGTAAATGGACTCCGTCAATGCTGTCAGACTACTGCTGGAGCATTGTAAGAGACAATCCTTTCCTTGAATACAAAAGAAAAGTCAAGAGAAGCAAACAGGATATAAACTAAAGTCACGATTAAAGCGACATTTAAACTTTCAGACTTTTCAACTGCATTAGGCCTACTAATATAGTTTCTTGCTGCACAAACATAAACAATAGACTAATTAAATCAATATTTCTCATGTATAAACTATTGGCAATAAAATTTGACTAAAATTTAGTAAATATTCACGGTTGATATACATGCAGTAAGGTTAGGCACATTATCATAATATTAACGAATTACCTATTGTGGAGAAAATTGAAATAGCTGTTGCATAAAAACCAGAGCCAATTAACACATTTAATTATTATATTTGAACTCAGCATGTTAAATTTACTAAGAAACGGCACATTTCGTTTCCGTAACTGAGAAAAACTGAAAATTTGTAGAACAGTGTTATTAGACAGGGCCTATCTATCTATCTATCTCTCAGCAGACATCTCGTCTCTCTCCAGGCTCACAGGAGAAGAACACAATGACCTATGTGGTCATTTGAATAAAAGGGGTGTGTCCCTGAGGAGTGTCTGGGGATAGGAGGAGAGAAGAAAGGGATTTGGATAAACAAGAGACTTTCTCTCCGCTTTGCTCACCTTCACAGATGAGAAGGATGTTGTTGTAGCTGAAGCCGATGGGGCACTCGCAGCGGAAGCTGCCGATCTGGTTGATGCAGACCCCATTGCTGCAGATGGCGGGGATCTCGCTGCACTCGTCGATGTCTGTGGGCAAAAGGGGCTGCGTTTCCTTTCCACAGGTTCCACCCTGAAGGTCCCCCCCCCCCCCCCCCCCAGGATGGCAGCGCTTCCTCTACTTACCGATGGGCTTCCCGGTGTGAATGTCGATGATGAAGCCGGGGGCCTGGTTACCACACAGGATCTGGTACTCTGCTGCAATGGGGACAGACAAGATAGATGCAGTCCACAACGTTTGGGGGCCTTGAGAGCAGGGCTGGGCCTACTTTGGCCCTCCCTCCAGGTGTTTTGTATTCAGGTGGGGGGCTTACAACTGGCAGGCGTGGGGCAGGGCTCACAGGGCTTGTTCCAGGCCTTGCCGATGTTGTAGGAGCAGCAGCACATCTTCTTGGTCATGTTGAAGGAGAGCTCGTTCTCGCAGGTGTCGTTGTAGTTGCGGTAGCACAGGCTCTTCCTCATGTCTGCAGAGGGTAAGGGAGAGGCCATAGGTGGGTGATCAAGGGGCGGGGCATGGACTGAAAGGAAAGGGCGGGGCATTGACCCAAAGGGGTGGGGCATTGGCCCAGAGGAAGGAGCAGGGTGTTGTTGGGTTTCCATCCCTGGACTGTACAAATTTCTCGTGTCATCAAGTTTCCAGACCTCAATGAGTAGCTAGGCTAGCGACAGGGACAGGCTGAGGGATTCCTCCCCCCACATTCCTACAGCCACTGTCTCCTCCCCCTTTGATGATGTGGTAATAGAATTTCTGTGAGGGAACTTCCTCCTAAATTTAAATTGACCTGGATTGACCATGTGGTCTCTCCACCATTTTCCAGTCTCTTCTGCCTTTTCTTCCTTCCAGTAAGGACGCATTTTGCCTCTCTCTAGGCCAGTGGCTCTCAACCTGGGGTCCCCAGATGTTTTTGGCCTTCAACTCCCAGAAATCCCAGCCAGTTTACCAGCTGTTAGGATTTCTGGGAGTTGTAGGCCAAAAACATCTGGGGACCCAAGGTTGAGAACCACTGCTCTAGGCAAAATGTAGCTGCATTGACTTTTTACTTTTTACCTCCTTTAGAAGACAAGATGTAGTAAGCTACTGAGATCCAAGACCTTCTCTATCAAAAATGTATTTCTTTTTACTTCGATAAATATTTTTGAACCTAAAGTTCTGACTCTGCAATCCTAAGCCATCCCGAAGAATAGAAGCCTATCCCAGCTTATTTATTTATTTATTTAGAAATTTTGTATACCGGTCTTCTCACCTCCATCGAGGGACTCAGGCCGGTTTCCAACAACAATATCACAAACAATCATTAAAAACATCATATTCCATATTACACTAAAACAGTAAAAGAGCAAAATACAGTCATATAATTACAATGGTCAGTCGTCACAATAAAATAGTTGTTCATCACCATCCATCAGTATCGAAAGGTCATGAGTTCGAAGCCAGCCCAGGTCAGGGTAAGCTCCCGGCCATTTGTCTAGCTTGCTGTCGACCTTTGCAGCTCAAGCTTGCCACACCTAAGTTTCTGCTGGTTATTAAGTTTGCTTCTGGTATGGTGGAATCACCCCAATTGAGGGTTATTTTTGAGCCTAACAGCTCAGATTCCCCAACAAAGGGTCTATGGGCCCAGACACATGTGCGCTGAGCAAAAAGAGAAAATAGCATTAAAGGATAGGTGAAAAGAAGCAGAGAAAGGTTTCTCAAAGAGATTTTGAGTTTTGATTTTTGGATATTTTTGAACTTTGGTTTTTGGAATTTTCTTGGAGAATTTCATTTTATTTTTGAAAGCTGAGAACCATGGAAATGAAGCAGGATTTTATTTGGACTCTTCCTAAATTGGAAGATGAAGGTGGTAATTACTTGAATTGGAAGAATTGACTGGAATTAATCCTGAAAGCCAAAGAGACTGAAGTTTGCACCCAAGATCTGCCATCACCTGGAGATGAGGGATACGCTGACTGGTTCCAGGTCAACAAATTGGTGAGAGCAATCATTTCAAGTTCTCTATCAGAAAGAATGTTGAGTTCGTAAAAAATGCTAAGACAGCAAAAGAAATGCTAGTATACTTGGAACGGCACTACAGCAAAAGTTTCCTTGCTGGGAGCATGCTAATTTATCAAAAATTGTTCACAGCCAAAATGGGCTCAGAACAGAGCTTAAATGGTTTCTGTAATGAATTTGCTGATCTCTACAAGATTTTTGGTGTATAGCTCTATGTTCCCATGTGGCAGTTAGGGAAGATTTAGTACAAGTAGGATAGTAACAGCGAAGACAAGATCATTTGCATATGGGAAGTCGATTGGTCCTATGCAGAGTAGTGTAGGCCCAGGATTTTTTTAAAAAGGCTCTGAGGCCAGAACGACAATTGAGAAGAGCTGAACGTTCTAAAGGGACGGAGTTAAGTTTAAAAAGAGGCAGTTAGAGTTGAAGAGAAAAAGAAATAAGAGCAGTTAGTTAGGAATGACTGCTTGTGAAGTGAGTTAGGAATAGCTGTTTGTGAAGCAGTTAGGAATCTGTGTGTGAAGAGAAGAAGTTAACCCTGTCTGAGAGAGAGACAGTGGGGAATCTCTGTTTGATAGAAGAATTATTGAATGTAGGACCAAGTAGCAACAGTCAGAACTGACCACGGAACAACAGACTTGTTCAAGATTGGGAAAGGCGTACGGCAAGGCTGCATCCTCTCACCCAACCTTTTTAACTTGTATGCAGAACACATCATGAGATGTGCGGGGCTTGATGAATGCAAAGCTGGGGTGAAAATTGCTGGAAGAAACATTAACAACCTCAGATATGCAGATGACACCACTCTGATGGCCGAAAGCGAGGAGGAGCTGAGGAGCCTTCTAATCAAGGTGAAAGAAGAAAGCGCAAAAGCCGGGTTGCAGCTAAACGTCAAAAAAACCAAGATTATGGCAACAAGAATGATTGACAACTGGAAAATAGAGGGAGAAACCGTGGAGGCCGTGACAGACTTTGTATTTCTAGGTGCAAAGATGACTGCAGATGCAGACTGTGGCCAGGAAATCAGAAGACGCTTACTTCTTGGGAGGAGAGCAATGTCCAGTCTCGATAAAATAGTAAAGAGTAGAGACATCAGACTGGCAACAAAGATCCGCCTAGTCAAAGCCATGGTATTCCCTGTAGTAACCTACGGATGTGAGAGCTGGACCTTAGGGAAGGCTGAGCGAAGGAAGATCGATGCTTTTGAGCTGTGGTGTTGGAGGAAAGTTCTGAGAGTGCCTTGGACTACGAGAAGATCCAACCAGTCCATCCTCCAGGAAATAAAGCCCGACTGCTCACTGGAGGGAAAGATACTAGAGACAAAGTTGAAGTACTTTGGCCACATCATGAGGAGACAGGAAAGCCTAGAGAAGACAATTATGCTGGGGAAAGTGGAAGGCAAAAGGAAGAGGGGCCGACCAAGGGCAAGATGGATGGATGGCATCCTTGAAGTGACTGGACTGACCTTGAGGGAGCTGGGGGTGGTAACGGCCGACAGGGAGCTCTGGCGTGGGCTGGTCCATGAGGTCACGAAGAGTCGGAGACGACTGAACGAATGAACAACAACAACAAGTTGTATAGGAAAATAAGTTACAAAATAATTCTGTCAAGAGTTTAAAAGGAAAAGTAACCAAGTTAATGATATTGAAAGTAAGCCTTAAGGATGTGACAAGATACTAATGTATTCCCAAGTGTTGGAACTTAAAGTTATAAATAAACGTTGTTAACTGGTTGCATATGAGAGCCTCAAGCCTATGATTCAAAGCCATAAGGTTTTTATAACTCACACGATAGAGCCTGTAATTATCATCTCTTTACAAAATGGTGGCACTAAGGCTAAATTAAAGGTGCATTTCAACAGGGTGGAAACAGAGTACATCCTAAGTGTTAAAGCGGTGGCTAACACGTGTCACACGTATTCATTTATGCCTAAGAGAAGGCAGAACATTCCCACCACACGCACTGCATATAGATACAGGCTTTGTTATTAAACTGGTTGCTTCGTCGACGTGTTCCCTTTACAGCTTCCTACAGCATATACAGTCCCTAGTTGACCAGCTAAGATTGAATGGTGAAAATAAAAGCAATGCAATGGGTATTGCCGCAATATCTGCAGGAATTCATCAAAGCTATGAAAATTCAGTATTAATTACGAAAAAGACTCATAATGAACAAATTCCTATAACCCTCGATGGTTTAATCACATGATTGAGAGCAGAGGCAGTTGAAAAAGTCGGGAAAAATACCCTATGAGGCTTGCTTTTTGAGAAGAAAGGGATGGCTTTAAAATAGTAATAATAATAATAAACTTTATTTGTACCCCGCTACCATCTCCCCAAGGGACTTGGTGATGCTTACATGAGGCCAAGCCCAAAGTACATCAAACACAACATCAATAAACACAACATCATAGAATCATAGAATCATAGAATCATAGAATCAAAGAGTTGGAAGAGACCTCATGGGCCATCCAGTCCAACCCCTTGCCAAGAAGCAGGAATATTGCATTCAAATCACCCCTGACAGATGGCCATCCAGCCTCTGTTTAAAAGCTTCCAAAGAAGGAGCCTCCACCACACTCCGGGGCAGAGAGTTCCACTGCTGAACGGTTCTCACAGTCAGGAAGTTCTTCCTCATGTTCAGATGGAATCTCCTTTCTTGTAGTTTGAAGCCATTGTTCCGCGTCCTAGTCTCCAGGAAGCAGAAAACAAGCTTGCTCCCTCCTCCCTGTGGCTTCCTCTCACATATTTATACATGGTTATCATATCTCCTCTCAGCCTTCTCTTCTTCAGGCTAAACATGCCCAGTTCCTTAAGCCGCTCCTCATAGGGCTTGTTCTCCAGACCCTTGATCATTTTAGTCGCCCTCCTCTGGACACATTCCAGCTTGTCAATATCTCTCTTGAATTGTGGTGCCCAGAATTGGACACAATATTCCAGATGTGGTCTAACGAAAGCAGAATAGAGGGGTAGCATTACTTCCTTAGATCTAGACACTATGCTCCTATTGATGCAGGCCAAAATCCCATTGGCTTTTTTTGCCGCCACATCACATTGTTGGCTCATGTTTAACTTGTTGTCCACGAGGACTCCAAGATCTGTTTCACACGTACTGCTCTCGAGCCAGGCATTGTCCCCCATTCTGTATCTTTGCATTTCATTTTTTCTGCCAAAGTGGAGTATCTTGCATTTGTCACTGTTGAACTTCATTTTGTTAGTTTTGGCCCATCTCTCTAATCTGTCAAGATCGTTTTGAATCTGCTTCTGTCCTCTGGAGTATTGGCTATCCCTCCCAATTTGGTGTCATCTGCAAACTTGATGATCATGCCTTCTAGCCCTTCATCTAAGTCATTAATAAAGATGTTGAACAGGACCGGGCCCAGGACGGAACCCTGCGGCACTCCACTTGTCACTTCTTTCCAAGATGAAGAGGAAGCATTAGTGAGCACTCTCTGTGTTCGTCCACTTAACCAATTACAGATCCACCTCACCGTAGTTTTGCCTAGCCCACATTGGACATAAACAATCAATAAAATACAAATCATATAAATCACATAAACAAAAAACAATCAATAGTGACATAAACAATTTTAAAAACCCTAAAAGCAACTGGTTACAAATCTCAATTGAAAAGTTCCAAAGTGTGTTACTTCTGTGGCAAAATTGGGCATCTTCAGAAGCAGTGCTTTTTGGCTAAGAGGAACAAAGAAGGTTTGGGGAATTCACCCATTCATGTTGCTAGGCAAAAGGCAAAGTGGCTGAAAACCTTAATAACTCTAGGAGCCAGTATTTTCAAACTCAACAAGGATTTAAGGAGGATGAAAAAATAGGTTTCAATCAAGAAGAGGGACTATGGGAAACAATTTTACAAAAAGATAAGAAACTGATTAGAATATTATACCAAAAACTTTTAACTTGGTCCACAGAAGAAGAACAAATCAAAAACTGTCAAATACAATGGGCAAAGGATATAGGGCACAGCATTCCCACAGATCAATGGGAAGAAATTTGGAATAAAAAAACCGAAATATATGGCAGCCAACGATCTTAAAGAAAATTGGTATAAAATGTTATACCGCTGATACTATACCCCAGAAAAACTTGCCACATTCAATAAAGGGATTTCAAATGCTTGCTGGAAGTGTAAGGAAGAAAAGGGGATTTTTATACACGCATGGTGGACATGCAAGCGAATCAAAAAATACTGGAGGGAAATACACTCCTTGACCCAAAAAATTCTAAAAGCCAAGTTCTCCCCAAAACCAGAAACCTATTTATTAGGGATATCTGATGCAAGTCTAAATGAAAACCAGGAGAAGATGCTTTTCCTACTCAGCACGGCAGCCGGATTACTACTAGCAAGATTATGGAAACAAGATGAAATACCCCAAAGACTGGATAATCAAAGTATTTGACATAGTACAAATGGACTGTCTATCACAAAAACTGAACAATGTCCGGAAAAAGACGGATTGGTCAGGTCTCAAAGATTTTATTAAAACCAGGAAAATTCCACTTTTGATAGATCTGTCCAACTTTTGAAAGGGTTAAAAAAAGTGACTACGAGAAGATCAGACTGAACAGTTTTGAAACCAACCAAAAGTTAATCAACCTCAGAAGACTTTGGGAAGTACAATCACTATTTGGTGGTTTATGTGTGTGGTGGTGGTGGTGGTGGTGGGATGGATGTTATTGTCTTTTATTTTCGTCTGGTCTATGGTGTAATTTCAATGCTCTTGTTTGTACATATCTCAAAATGCACAATAAAAACCATTATAAAAAAATAACTCTAGGAGCCAGGATCAAATAAGGCCTGGGATCTGAAATAAACATTTTTGAACATAAAGTTATGACTTCGCAATCCTGAGCCATCCTAAGAAATAGAAGGCCATCCCAGTTCACCACACATAGGTTTCTGGCACTCTGCTATATTTATGGTGGAATCACCCCGACTGAGGGTTATTTTTGAGCCTAAAAGCTCAGATTCCGCAACTGGTGTCAACACAAAGGAAGGGGCACGGCATAGACCCAAAGGAAAGTGGCATCAACTCAAAGGAGTAGGTGAGGCATCAGCCCAGAGGAAGGGACGGGGCATCAACTTAATGGAAAGGGCAGGGGATTGACTCAAAGGAAGGGGTGAGGCATCAACTCAAAGGAAAGGGGCGTTGACCCAAAGGAAGGGGTGGGGCATAGACCTAAAGGAAAGTGCAGGGTGTCCTACCCATGCAGTTGTTGCCCCCATTGACCTGCATGTACTCTGGGGGGCAGACGCAGGTGTAGTTCCCCAGCGTGTTGTAGCAGGTCCCCGGTCCGCAGATCCCGATGTGAGTGGAGCATTCGTCAATGTCTGCAGGGGAGAAGCGAGTGGAGAAACAGGGAAGAAAAGCACAAGGGTTGGCAGCAGGCCTCTCATTCCAGCCCCACCATTCTGGTCCTGAGATCTGTTTGCATCATCAAAGACAATGTCATCTTGGGAAAGAAGTTAAACAACTTATCTGTTTCGAGATTGATGAGGCTCCAGCAAGTTTGGGCTCAATGGCAGGTTATCTAAAGAACTAAGTAAATAGATAACAACAAAAAGGAGACCCTTTTCCTTTCCAATGTGTGCCAGATCTGCAAGGAATGCAGCATTTCAACAAGGGTGATGAGTATGAATGCTGAATGTGAATAAAGAAGGATGGTATGAATGCGTGAATGAATGGATTATGAGTGAATGTGAGAGTATATGTGATGATGGACTCAATAAAGAAGGATGGTGAGTACGAACGAGTGCATGAATGGATTATGAGTGAATGTGAGAGTATATGTGATGTTTCCTTTTTTTGTTTGCATTAGCAGGTGTACAAAGGCTACCTTCGCAAATGCGTGTGTCTTCGTTCAGGTAGTATCCCAAGGGGCACTCGCACTGGAAGCTCCCAAAGGTGTTGACACAGTTCCCTCCTTGGCAGAGGCCTGGCAGCTCCTGGCACTCGTCGATATCTGGAATAAAGGGAGGGTTGCATTCCCTAAGGATGACGTTGAGGTTCGGGAAGGCTGTGCGGTGTCCCGGCTCCCATGTGGAAGGATTCACAGCCGATGCATTCTGCCTTGCGCCATTTCTGAGCTGCGTTTTGCACACGGCTTCCTGTCCCCAGGACCCACTTGCTACTCTGTTCCGCTCACCTTCCAAAATGACAGTGATGGGGTTCGGGCGGAAGCCTTCACCTCCCGGGCACAAAGTCTTGTATTCCGCTGCCGGAGGAAGAAGAGGAGAAGGTTGCAGGGGAGGAAAGAGGGAGAGGGGCATCCACAGGGCTTGTTGACTAGGAATTAACCTCACTCGGTTCAGTGTGTGAACTCCACACACTGCCAATACCTCACCCTCAATACAAAAACCTTACCTTCCTTCCCTTCCAGGCTTACTCATGAATTTTAACTGGTTAACCAAATCCCCATGCTAAGTCTATGAGATGCAAAACAGTCCCTCCAGAACTGCAAGCACTATCTCAAGCAAATATTGACAATTTATTCACACTGTCATTACTTGCAGCAATAGCCGATGTAGTGAAGCAACCAAGTTGGGGGGGGGGGGAGTGTTGAATGCTCTCATTAAGGAGGCCAGACTTGGTGGAGGGGGTTGACAGGGGCGGAGCTGCAGGCTATTGAAGGCTGCTCTGCCCCCTGCTGTGCTCTTTGCTTCAGCGTGAGCTAGGAGGCAGGTTTCAACCCCCCCGCCACGAAATTTTCAACCCCTCCCGATTTTTTTTCTGGCTACGGCCCTGTTCCCTCCCCTTTCTCCTCCCTCCTTTTTCACCTTTTCCTTCCTTCCTTCCCTCCCTCTCTCCCTTTCTTTTCCTTTCCTCCTTCCTATCCCTCCCTCCCTCTCCCTCCTTCCTTCTCTCCCCTTTTCAATCTTTTCATTGATTGCCTAACTCTTTTTGCTTGCTTGCTTGCTTCGTTCCTTCCTTCTTTTCCCCTCCCACCTTCATTTCTTCCACTTGTCCAGCACTCGAGGGGCCTCCTTGGAATTAGGTGGAAAAGAGTAGTAGAGTTGTGTGTCATCTGCGTAGAGATGGCACCTAACTCCAAAACTCTGGATGACCTCTCCCAGCGGTTTCATGTAGATGTTAAAAAGCATGGGAGACAAAATAGAGCCTTGCGGGACCCCACAGGTCAAAGGCCAGGGGTCCGAGCAGGCATCTCCCAGCTTCACCATCTGGGATCGACCCTCCAGGAAGGACCGGAGCCACGACAAAACCGTGCCCCCGAGACCCATCCCAGAGAGTCGTCCCAGAAGGATACCATGATTGATGGTATCGAAAGCTGCTGAGATGTCCAAGAGAACCAACAGAGTCACACTCGCCCTGTCCAGCTCTCTACGGAGGTCATCCAACAAGGCGACCAAGGCCGTCTCGATGCCGTGACCAGGCCTGAAGCCAGACTGACTGATCTAGGTAGTTGTTGTCATCTAGGAAACCCTGGAGCTGGGAGTCGACCACCCGCTCCAACACCTTGCCCAAGAAAGGGAGGTTGGAGATTGGTCTGAAGTTGTTCAGCACCGTGGAGTCAAGGGAAACCTTTTTGAGAAGTGGACGAACACCGCTTGTTTCAGTTGAGATGGAAAAACCCCCTGCTCCAATGATGCATTAATGATCAACACAAACCAATCTACCAACCCCTCCCTGGCCGATTTGATTAGCCAAGAAGGGCAAGGGTCTAGAGCCGACGTGGTTGCCCTCACAGCGCCAAGGACCTCCTCCACGGTCTCAGGAAGAACAAGCCTAAAAGAATCCCACAAAATTGGACAGACAGATGCCTCAATCACCTCCCCTGGAACTGTGATGAAATTGGAGTCCAGGTCAAGACGTATCTGAGCAACTTTGTCTGCAAAATGGTGTGCGAACTCGCGACACCGAGTTGCTGGGTCATCAAAGGTCTCCTCCACCACCGGTGGGTGAAGGAGTTCCCCGACGACCCGGAACAGCTCCAACGATCTATTTGCTGCAGACACTATATGGGTAGTCGTGAAAGACTCCCTGGCTAATCGTATAGCCACGGTATACGCCTTAAGGGAGGCTTTAGCCCGTGTTTGGTCAGTCACGTCTCGAGATTTCCTCCATTTGCGCTCTAGCCCCCTTCTCGTGTGTTTCATCATGGTCAACTCCTCGGTGAACCAGGGAGATGGCGTGTCTTGACGAAACAAGATGGGGCATTCGGGAGTGATCGTATCTATCGCCCTGGTCATCTCCCTGTCATCTCCATTGTAGGATCGCCCTGGTCATCTCCATTGTAGGATGTGACATGGTCTTCATTATATAAAGAATATCCATATAAATATGTGTGTGTGTCCCACTTTGACCTTGCAACCGATACACAGCTGAGGCAATGGCTATAGTTTGAAGCCCCTTGGAGCCCACCCATCCAAGGCAAAGCTTGCCTCAGATGAGACCCCCACCCAAATGAGACAACCCCCCTCCCCAGTACTCACTGGTGTTGGCAGAGGGGCAGAGCTCGCAGGGATTTCCCCAGGCGCGGCCCAAGGAGCAGCAGCAGGAGGCCCGCGTGACCCCCACCCCAATCTCGGCGCTGCAGGAGATGCCGCCATCCCCACGGTCCTGTGTCTCCAGGAAGCAGTTGCCCACCCGGGTGTCTGGCAAGGGAGAGAAGGGAGGGAGGAGAAGGACGGAAGGAAGGTAGGGAGGAAAGAAGGGCAAAGAAGAAAGAATGTTTACATAGGTAACATGAATGGACAGATGTTAGGGAAGGAGGGAAGAAAGAAAGGAGAGGAGGGAGGAAAGAAGGAAGGAAAGAAGGAAGGAAGGAAAGAAGAGATTGAAAGAGAGAGGACGGGAGGGAGAGAGGGAGGAAGGAAGGAAGGAAAAGAAAGAAAGAAAGAAAGAAAGAAAGAAAGAAAGAAAGGGGAGAGAGAGGAGGGCAGGAAGCAAGGAAAATGTTTAAGAAGGAAGGAAGGATGGAAAGAAGGAAGGAAAGAAGGGATTGAAAGAGAGAGGGCAGGAGGGAGAGAGGGAGGGAGGGAGGAAGGAAAAGAAAGAAAGAAAGAAAGAAAGAAAGGGGAGAGAGAGGAGGGCAGGAAGCAAGGGAAATATTTAAGAAGGAAGGAAGGATGGAAAGAAGGAAGGAAAGAAGGGATTGAAAGAGAGAGGGCAGGAGGGAGAGAGGGAGGGAGGGAGGGAGGGAGGAAGGAAGGAAAAGAAAGAAAGAAAGAAAGAAAGAAAGAAAGAAAGGGGGGAGAGAGGAGGGCAGGAAGTAAGGAAAATGTTTAAGAAGGAAGGAAGGATGGAAAGAAGGAAGGAGAAAGAAGAAAGGAAGAGAAAAGGGAGGAGGAAGGACAAGGAAGAAAGGAAGGAAGGAGAGAAGGAAGGAAAGAGAAAAAGAAGGAAGAAGGAAGGAAGCGGAAGAGGAAGGAAGGGAAGGAAAGAAAGAAGGAAGGAAAAAAAGAGGGGCAAAGTGGAAAGAATGTTTACACAGGTAATAAGGATGGACAGATGGGAGGGAAGGAGGAAGGGAGGAAGGAGGGAAGGAAAGAAGGACGAGAGAGGGAGGGAAGGAAGGAAGAAAGGGCAAGGAAGAAAAAAATGTTTACGTATGGCTCAGTGTTATTATTATTACCCCGCACCTTACACTGATACTCCTGGGCTCACCAACGCAGCCCACGCCAGTGGGGTTCAGCTCGAAGTCCTGGGGGCAGTTGCAGAGGTAGCTGCCTGGAGTGTTGACGCATAGGCCGTTGATGCAGTTCACGGGGTCGGCACATTCGTTGACATCTGCAAGGGGAAAAGGGGAGGGGGGCAGGTCAAGCCTGGCCTGGGTTGGGCTGCATTCTGGGGGCATTGGGGGGCCCCAGGAAGGGGCCAGCCCATTTTTAACTGTGATTTGTTTGTAAGTTAGGTGCTTGCCTGGGGGGAACGGGACCCTCCTGCCTCACCTGTGCAGTTGCCTCCGCTCCTGTCCAGCTCGTACCCGTCGTCACAGGCGCAGCGGAACATGCCGGGAAGGTTCTGGCAGGTGCCGAAGACACAGATGTTCTGGAAGGTGCACTCGTCGATGTCTGAGAGAACGGAAGAAAGAAAGAAAGAAAGAAAGAAAGAAAGAAAGAAAGAAAGAAAGAAGGAAGGAAGGAAGGAAAAGGAGAGCCTGGGTGAAGCCAGAGCACAGGCGGGATGGTGCCCTGCTTGGAGTCTCCTTGATTGTTGTTGTTTATTTGTAATGTGTATTACCTTGGCAGGCCTTGCTGTCCTGGGTGGGGTTGAAGCCCATCTCACACTCGCAGCGGTATCCCCCGGGTGCGTTGAGGCACTGCCCATTCTCACACAGGTTGACGTTGTCAGCGCATTCGTCCACGTCTGACGCAAAGGGAAAGCGGGTCAGGCTCATACTCCACAGGGACACACCCACTTTTATGCAAATTTCCTTCTCTCTTCACAACACTTCTCAGGGACACACCCCTTTTATGCAAATCTCTTCTCCTATCCCGACACTCCTCTGTGACACACACCCTTTTATGCAAATCCCTTTCTCTCCTCTCCTCTTCTCCCAACACTACTCAGGGACACACCTCCTTATGTGAATCCTCCTCCCTTTTCTTCCTATTCCCTTTTTATTTATTTATTTATTATTTATTTACAACATTTATATACCGCTTTTCTCACCCCGAGGGGACTCAAAGCGGTTTACACATAGATAATGACAAAAATTCAATGACTTACAACTACAATATTAAAACCATACTTTAAACATAATCATATTAAAAACAGTGTTGTTCATTCGTTCAGTCGTCTCCGACTCTTCGTGACCTCATGGACCAGCCCACGCCAGAGCTCCCTGTCGGCTGTCACCACCCCCAGCTCCTTCAAGGTCAGTCCAGTCACTTCAAGGATGCCATCCATCCATCTTGCCCTTGGTCGGCCCCTCTTCCTTTTGCCTTCCACTTTCCCCAGCATCATTGCCTTCTCTAGGCTTTCCTGTCTCCTCATGATGTGGCCAAAGTACTTCAACTTTGTCTCTAGTATCCTTCCCTCCAGTGAGCAGTCGGGCTTTATTTCCTGGAGGATGGACTGGTTGGATCTTCTCTTAGTCCAAGGCACTCTCAGAACTTTCCTCCAACACCACAGCTCAAAAACAGTACATCATCAAATACCAAAACAGTTATTAAAACCATAAAACAATCTCATCAGTCAAGTCGCCGTTCCAGTCCTTGTCCCACTAAAAGCTGCATACATCTATTGTCCGAAGGCCTGGTCCCAGAACCATGAGTTTATTTTTTTTCTAAAGGTCAGGAGCGAGGGAGAAAATCTTACCTCATTTGGGAGTGTGTTCCATAGGCGGGGGGGGGGGGGGGCACAGCCGATAAGGCCCTGCTCCTCATCCCCGCCAGCCGCATTTGCGCTGTTGACGGGAGTGAGAGCAGGGCCTCCCCAGATGATCTTAAATTGCGAGGTGGGACGTAGGGGCAGATGCGTTCGGACAATTAAGTTGGGCCCGAACCATATAGAGCTTTATAGGTCAAAACCAGCACTTTGAATTGGGCTCGGTGATGGACCGGCAGCCAGTGGAGCTGGCATAGCAGGGGGGTGGTATGCTCCCTGTATGCCACCCCAGTTAGTAATCTGGCTGCCGCCTGTTGAACTAATTGAAGTTTCCGAACCGTCTTCAAAGGCAGCCCCACTTAGAGCGAGTTGCAATAATCTATTCGGGATGTAACCAGAGCGTGGACCACCGTGGCCAGATCAAACTTTCCAAGGTATGGGGGCAGGGACACACCCCCTTTTATGCAAACTCCCCCTCTCCTATCCCTTGCACTCATAAAGGACACACCCCCTTTATGCAAATCCCTCTCCCTTCTCCTCCTATCCCCTATTCTCTTCTCCCGAGCTCTGAAGATCACCTGGGAAGGAATCACACTGGAGCATTGCAGCACACCCAAATACCTGGGAGTCACTCTGGACCGTGCTCTGACCTACAAGAAGCACTGCCTGAACATCAAGCAAAAAGTGGGTGCTAGAAACAATATCATACGAAACCTGACTGGCACAACCTGGGGATCACAACCAGATACACTGAAGACATCTGCCCTTGCGCTGTGCTACTCTGCTGCTGAGAACACATGCCCAGTGTGGAACACATCTCACCACACTAAAACAGTGGATGTGGCTCTTAATGAGACATGCCGCAATATCACGGGGTGTCTGCGCCCTACACCACTGGAGAAATTACACTGCTTAGCCAGTATTGCACCACCTGACATCCGCCAGGAAGTAGCAGCCAATAGTGAAAGGACCAAGGCAGAGACATCTCCTGTCCATCCCTTGTTTGGGTATCAGCCAGCACGTCAACGGCTTAAATCTAGAAATAGTTTTCTAAGATCTACAGAGACACTAGCTGGAACACCTCAGCAAGCGAGAGTCCAAAAGTTGCAGGCTCAAACCCAGAACCTCAACCAATGGCTGATACCAAATGAGAGACTCCCCCCTGGGCACACAGAGGACTGGGCGACTTGGAAGGCGCTGAACAGACTGCGCTCTGGCACCACGAGATGCAGAGCCAACCTTCAGAAATGGGGCTTAGTGGAATCCACGACATGCGAGTGCGGAGAGGAGCAAACCACTGACCACCTGCTGCAATGCACCCTGAGCCCTGCCACATGCCTAGTCTCCAAGGAAGCAGAAAACAAGCTTGCTCCCTCCTCCCTGTGGCTTCCTCTCACATATTTATACATGGCTATTATATCTCCTCTCAGCCTTCTCTTCTTCAGGCTAAACAGCTCTTTAAGCCTTCTTGCAGCAACACCAGAGGCACTCCAAGTGGCCAGATACTGGTCAAAGGACATTTAACCAACTACCAAGTTTGCAAAATCTGTGGGTTTTTTTTTTATCTGTGTGTTTGTTTTGTTCTGTTAGATATGGTATGGTTGCTGATGACACGATAAATAAATAAATGGGACTGAGTGCTGCGCTCAAGGGCTTCTGATCTGCCAAACTGCAACTACTATTGCTGCTTCACTTGACTTTCCTCCCTGAAGGCGTGCTTCCTTCCTTCCTACCTGAGCAGGAGAATCCATCCCCATTGAAGCCTTCCCGGCAGGCACAGCGGAAGGAGCCGGGCGTATTGAGGCAGTTGGCATTCAGGTTGCAGCTGTGGGCCTCCGTGGTGCATTCGTCCAGGTCTGGGCAGGGAAAGGGAGGGAGAAACAAGAGTCACAAAGGCCAGAAAGAGGGAAAGAAGAGAGGGAAAAAAAGAAAGAGATAAAGGAAGGAAGGAAAGAAGTGATAAATAAATTAAGGAGTGTCGCAAAGGTCGGATGGAGGGAAAGGCGAGAAAGAAAGAAAGAAAGAAAGAAAGAAAGAAAGAAAGAAAGAAAGAAAGAAGAGTCACAAGGAAGGAAGGATGGAAGGAAGTAAAGAGTGTGGCAAAAGCCAGGCAGAGTGACCCCTCTTTCCCTTGAGGCTCACCATTGCACTTAAGGCCGTCCCCGAGCCAACCAGAGCGGCACTTGCAGCGGAAACTCCCAGGAATGTTGATGCAGGCGGCGTGCAGGTCGCAGTTGTGGGCCCCCACCTCACACTCATCGATGTCTAGGGGAGAAGTGTTGGAAATAGCAACCTTCTAGAAGCCTCCTACACTAGTTATGGCTGGATGTATACAATCATAGAATCATAGAATCAAAGAGTTGGAAGAGACCTCATGGGCCATCCAGTCCAACCCCCTGCCAAGAAGCAGGAATATTGCATTCAAATCACCCCTGACAGATGGCCATCCAGCCTCTGTTTAAAAGCTTCCAAAGAAGGAGCCTCCACCACACTCAGGGCAGAGAGTTCCACTGCTGAACGGCTCTCACAGTCAGGAAGTTCTTCCTCATGTTCAGATGGAATCTCCTCTCTTGTAGTTTGAAGCCATTGTTCCGCGTCCTAGTCTCCAAGGAAGCAGAAAACAAGCTTGCTCCCTCCTCCCTGGCTTCCTCTCACTTATTTATACATGGCTATCATGTCTCCTCTCAGCCTTCTCTTCTTCAGGCTAAACATGCCCAGCTCCTTAGCCCACTCCTCATAGGGCTTGTTCTCCAGACCCTTGATCATTTTAGTCGCCTCCTCTGGACACATTCCAGCTTGTCAATATCTCTCTTGAATTGTGGTGCCCAGAATTGGACACAATATTCCAGGTGTGGTCTAACCAAAGCAGAATAGAGGGGTAGCATTACTTCCTTAGATCTAGACACTATGCTCCTATTGATGCAGGCCAAAATCCCATTGGCTTTTTTTGCCGCCACATCACATTGTTGGCTCATGTTTAACTTGTTGTCCACGAGGACTCCCAAGATCTTTTCCACACGTACTGCTCTCAAGCCAGGCATCGTCCCCCATTCTGTATCTTTGCATTTTGTTTTTCCTGCCAAAGTGGAGTATCTTGCTCAGTTCTTGTGGGTTTTTTCGGGCTATATGGCCATGTTCTAGAGGCATTTCTCCTGACAGTTCGCCTGCATCTATGGAGTATCTTGCATTTGTCACTGTTAAACTTCATTTTGGTAGTTTTGGCCAATCATCTCTCTAATCTGTCAAGATCGTTTTGAATCCTGCTCCTGTCCTCTGGAGTATTGGCTATCCCTCCCAATTTGGTGTCGTCTGCAAACTTGATGATCCTGCCTTCTAGCCCTTCATCTATGTCATTAATAAAGATGTTGAACAGGACCGGGCCCAGGACGGGACCCTGCGGCACTCCACTTGTCACTTCTTTCCAAGATGAAGAGGAAGCATTGGTGAGCACCCTCTGGGTTTGTCCATTTAACCAATTACAGATCCACCTCACCGTAGTTTTGCCTAGCCCACATTGGACTAGTTTCCTTGCCAGAAGTTCATGGGGGACCTTGTCGAAGGCCTTACTGAAATCCAGGTACGCTACATCCACGGCATTCCCCACATCTTCCCCGTATATAGTTGAGATTGTTTACTGTACTGTATTGGTGTGTATTGGTGTGCTGTTTTCCTTAACTCTATGTTGTGGGAGGGACTGCAGACCATGTGACCAGATCTGGGACTGTTCAGGACTCAGACTGCATTTTAGAAACAGTATGTTTTTAGAAGTCAGTAGAAACAGAATGCTTTAGAGAAGAGATGCTATTAGACTCTCAGACCACAGAGATGCTTTAGACTGCTGATCATAAGAAATATGCCCTGTGTTATTTGCACACAGAAACTACTGTCTGTAACTGGTTTGATATTCAATAATAATGATAATACTTTAATTCTGATTGCTTACTGTACTGTATATGGACATATTGGTATGCAGTTTTCCTTAACTCTATGTTGTGGGAGGGGTTACAGAGTATGTGACCAGATCTGGGATTTTTCAGATTCAGACTCCATTTTAGAAGCCAGTCTGTTTTCAGAATATTTTATTTCTTTATTAATTTATTATTCAAACTTCTATGCCGCCACTCCCTTGGGGCTCGGAGCAGCTTACAAGAACAGGCTAAAATCTAACACAATTTAAAAACAATTTGAAACCATTTATAAACAGCAATATCAAAGATGAAAGGCCTGTCGAAACAGGTATGTCTTACATGCCCTGCAGAAAGCTGATAAGTCCCACAAGGCATGGACTTCAGGTGGCAGAGTATTCCAGAGTGATGGTGCCACTGCTGTAAAGGCTCTGCGTCTGGTTGCTGTTAGACGCAAGGTCTTGACACTGGGAATTTCCAATAGATCTTGGTCCTCAGAACGGAGGGATCTCTGGGGTTGGTAGGGTGTGAGGCGGTCCCTCAGGTACATTGGCCCCAGACCATGCAAGGCCTTAAAGGTGAGTACCATCACTTTGAAAGTGATCCGGTGCTCAATTGGTAACCAATGCAGCTGCAGTAAGATTGGTGTTATGTGGCATCTCATCGGAATTTAGAAAGACAGAGACTCTATTAGACTCTCAGACTGGAGAGATGCTTTAGACCAGTGGTTCTCAACCTTCCTAATGCCGTGACCCCTGAATACAGTCCCTCATGTTGTGGTGACCCCCAACCATAATATTGTTTTCGTTGCTACTTCATAACAGTCATTTTACTACTGTTATAAATCATAATGTAAATATCTGATATGCAGGATTCACTGGACCAAACTGGGCACAAATACCCAATACACCCATTTTGTAATTTGGGAGTTGTAGTTGCTGGGATTTATAGTTCACTTATAATCAAAGTGAGCCCCCGGTGGCGCAGTGGGTTAAAGCACTGAGCTGCTGAGCTTGTTGATTGAAAGGTCGCAGGTTCGATTCCGGGGAGCGGCGTGAGCTTCCGCTGTCAGCCCTAGCTTCTGCCAACCTAGCAGTTCGAAAACATGCAAATGTGAGTAGATCAATAGGTACCGCTCCGGCGGGAAGGTAACAGCGCTCCATGGAGTCATGCCGGCCACATGACCTTGGAGGTGTCTACGGACAACGCTGGCTCTTCGGCTTAGAAATGGAGATGAGCACCACACCCCAGAGTCAGACATGACTGGACTTAGTGTCAAGGGACTACCTTTACCTTTACCTATAATCAAAGAGCATTCTGAACTCCACCAGCGATAGATTTGAACCAGACTTGGCCCCCATGACCAGTGGAAAACACTGGAAGAGTTTGATGAGCATTGACCTTGAGTATGGGAGTTGTAGTTCACCTATATCCAAAGAGCACTGTGGACTCATGCAATGGTGGTTCTGGACCAAACTTGACACGAATACTCAATATGCCCAAATGTGAACACTGGTGGAGTCTGGGGAAAATAGATCTTGACATTTGGGAGTTGTAGTTGCTGGGATTTATAGTTCATTACAATCAAAGAACATTCTGAACTCCACCAACGATAGAATTGGCTCAAACCTCCCACATGAAATCCCCATGACCATCAGAAAATACTGTGTTTTCTTATGGTCTTTGGCGACCCCTCTGACACCCCCTCACGACCCCCTCAGGGGTCCCGACCCCCAGGTTGAGAAACATTGCTTAAGACTTTGGAATGTTATGATTCTAAGAAAGATGCCCTGTGTTATTTGCGCAGAGAAACTACTTCGAATCTATCTGTAAAGTACCTGTATGCTAAATACATGAAGTTTGTGAGTAAACCAGATATGTTATTTTAACAAAGACTACTTATTTTTGGTCTCGTGAGAGCATTATTAAAACCAAGAGGTTTAAAGGGAGAGTAGATATTTTTGCGCAACTGGAAATAACACTTCTGAGACTCTGCTGTTTTTCGTGTATTGGCATACCTTTGACCCTAACAGTTTAGAGATGATCAGTTAAATCAGTCTAACAGCCGAGGAACCAAATTGCCTTGCATGAACCTAGTGGGTATATTTACCACTGAGGAGAAGGTTGGCTCAAGCGAGTTTTCAACTCTTCTCAGGGAGATTCCTGATTTTCCCAAAATTGTGGTGAATGCCATTTTCCTAAAGGTTATGGAAATTTCCATTTCCCTGAAGGTTATGGCATAATTACTAACAAGGTCATGCCTTTCCAAAGATCATAATTCTTCAAAAGAACCTACTGGAGTGAGTGCCATGGGCCATGGTTGGCTGGGCGGCCATGACATTGCCCGTTGCAACTGCAGAGTGCTCACCTGTGCATCCAGTGGTGCCCTTCTTGACGAAGTAGCCCAGCTGGCAGTGGCAGATGAAGGAGCCCTTGGTGTTCTCGCACTCCCCGTGAAGGCAGATGTTTGGGTTCAAGTCGCACTCATTCACGTCTGCAAGGAAAAGCGGGGGAGGAAGCGAAAGGTGCAATATAAATGAAGTTGTTGTCGAAGGCTTTCATGGCTAAAATTACTAGGTTCTTGTAGGTTTTTTCGGGCTATAGGGCCATGTTCTAGAGGCATTTTTCCTGACGTTTCGCCTGCATCTATGGCAAGCATCCTCAGAGGTAGTGAGGTCTGTTGGAAATAGGAAAATGGGTTTATATATCTGTGGAATGACTGGGGTGGGGCAAAGAGCTCTTCTCTGCTGAAGCTAGGTGTGAATGTTTCAACTGACCACCTTCATTAGCATTTGAAGGCCTGGCTGAGCCTGGGGGAATCTTTTGTTGAGAGGTGTTAAGATGTGCCTGGTTGTTTCCTCTCTGCTGTTTTGCTGTTGTAATTTTTTAACACCTCTCAACAAAAGATTCCCCCAGGCTCAGCCAGGCCTTCTAACGCTAATGAAGGTGGTCAGTTGAAACATTCACACCTAGCTCCAGCAGAGAAGAGCTCTTTGCCCCACCCCAGGTCATTCCACAGATATATAAACCCACTTTCCTAGTTCCAACAGACCTCACTACCTCTGAGGATGCTTGCCATAGATGCAGGCGAAACGCCAGGAGAAAATGCTCTAGAACATGGCCATATAGTCCGAAAAAACCTGCAACAACCCTGTTAATAATAATAATAATAATAATAATAATAATAATAATGATTATTGTTATTATTATGTTATTGTTTGCCACCTTAAGTCCCTATGGGGAGAAACGTGGGGTAAAAATAAAGATATAATAATAATAATAATAATAATAATAATAATAATAATAACTTATGGGCAGGACAGAAATGGTGATGATGGTGACGACGACGATGTTACTGTTAGCCACCTTAGGTCCCTATGGACTTTGGTTTCAGGGTTTTGAAAAAGGAGGTGCGCCTTAGATGTGATGGCGCATAAGACTCAATTCAGTGCAGTCAAGACTAAGTCTCATTGGTCCTCGGCCTCCCAAAATTCAAGGCTGTGGAATGCATTATGGAAAATGCAGGGCAATGCTATTGATCCCCATGCTCTCAAAGCAGCTCCAAAACCTACCAATGCACATCTTCATGTCCAGAGAAGCCATGAAGCCGTCAAAGCAGAGGCAGCGGTATTCACCCGGGATGTTGGTGCACTGGCCACCGTCGCAGACGTCTGGGTCGTCCTCACACTCGTCGATGTCTGGAGGGCAAGGAAGGGATGAAAGGGGCAGCTGGACCCTTATTGGAGGGGCAAAGGGAGTGTATGGGCGGCCCCTTACCTGTGCAAGAGCGCTTGTCTGGCATCAGTGCGTAGCCCTCACTGCAGCTGCACTCATAGCTGCCCTCCGAATTGGCGCAGTGCGTGTCACAGCCGCCGTTCATGATGGTGCACTCATCGATGTCTATGTGGGGAGGGGTTGGTTGGGGGTGAAAAATAATAAAGATAACAATAATGTAATAAAAGAATATTATTTAGTATTTAATAAATTTAGTATTTATTTAGTATTTAATAATTTTCCTCTGATTACTGCCTAAAAGGCATCCCAAACTCTACTTTCGTCCATTCCAGGAGTTCTGTTTAGGCTAAAATATTGAATAATTTGGTCTTTTATCTCTTTTCTGTCTGTGTCTTTATAGGCAACTTTTGCATTAAATCTCCATTTTTCACTGTCTTTTTTGTATAATTTCCCAATTTTAAATAGAGAGGTGCATGATCTCCAAGCCATTGTTTGCCCACTAGTAGTTCTTTTATTGGCATTACATTATTAATGCCTACCAGAAAACAATCTATAGTAGTGAAAGTTGAGTGTCTATGTGAGAAGTAAGTGGGAATGTCCATTCTTTCCCCTATTTTATTATTAGCCTCTATAAGGTTTCACTTCCAAAATTTTATTTTGCAGTTTGCTCCTGAGTTTGGTTAGACCACATCTGGAATATTGTGTCCAATTCTGGGCACCACAATTCAAGAGAGACATTGACAAGCTGGAATGTGTCCAGAGGAGGGCGACTAAAATGATCAAGGGTCTGGAGAACAAGCCCTATGAGGAGCGGCTTAGGGAACGGGGCATGTTTAGCCTGAAGAAGAGAAGGCTGAGAGGAGATATGATAGCCATGTATAAATATGTGAGAGGAAGCCACAGGGAGGAGGGAGCAAGCTTGTTTTCTGCTTCCCTGGAGACTAGGACGCGGAACAATGCCTTCAAACTACAAGAGAGGAGATTCCATCTGAACATGAGGAAGAACTTCCTGACTGTGAGAGCCGTTCAGCAGTGGAACTCTCTGCCCCGGAGTGTGGTGGAGGCTCCTTCTTTGGAAGCTTTTAAACAGAGGCTGGATGGCCATCTGTCAGGGGTGATTTGAATGCAACATTCCTGCTTCTTGGCAGGGTGTGGACTGGATGGCCCATGAGGTCTCTTCCAACTCTTTGATTCTATGATTCTATGAGTTCCCTGTTCCTTTACTCCTCTTTTTTTTGTGTATAGGTGTAAGTTCAAGTCCCCACCTACTATTATATCTCCTGACACTTGTTTTCTTATTTTAAAGCAGGTTTGTTTATGTTTTGATTTGTCTCTGGAAGCATACATGCTTGCTATAGATACCTGACTGTTGTTTATTTTACCTGTTATCATTCTAAATCTACCTTCGGTGTCTTTAATGACCTTTCTAATTAAAAATTTAGATTATCCTTTATGAGTATGGCCACTCCTCTGAATGTTTTTTGTGCCCCTCAATTCAAACTGTAGTTCTCAATATGGATTTATTGTTGTGTTTGTGTTTCTTGTAATAACGCAATATTTACTTGATTTTCCTTTCACATGTTGGATCATTTGTGTCTCTTAACTGGTGTTGAAAGGCCATTTGTGTTTACTGACATAATATTCATAGAATCAAAGAGTTGGAAGAGACCTCATGGGCCATCCAGTCCAACCCCTGCCAAGAAGCAGGAATATTGCATTCAAATCACCCCTGACAGATGGCCATCCAGCCTCTGTTTAAAAGCTTCCAAAGAAGGAGCCTCCACCACACTCCGGGGCAGAGAGTTCCACTGCTGAACGGCTCTCACAGTCAGGAAGTTCTTCCTCATGTTCAGATGGAATCTCCTCTCTTGTAGTTTGAAGCCATTGTTCCGCGTCCTAGTCTCCAAGGAAGCAGAAAACAAGCTTTGCTCCCTCCTCCCTGTGGCTTCCTCTCACATATTTATACATGGCTATCATATCTCCTCTCAGCCTTCTCTTCTTCAGGCTAAACATGCCCAGCTCCTTAAGCCGCTCCTCATAGGGCTTGTTCTCCAGACCCTTGATCATTTTAGTCACCCTCCTCTGGACACATTACAGCTTGTCAATATCTCTCTTGAATTGTGGTGCCCAGAATTGGACACAATATTCCAGGTGTGGTCTAACCAAAGCGGAATAGAGGGGTAGCATTACTTCCCTAGATCTAGACCAGTGGTTCTCAACCTGTGGGTCCCCCTTAATACAGTTCCTCATGCTGTGGTGACCCCCCAACCATAAAATTATTATTTTTGTTGCTATTTAATAACTGTAATTTTGCTACCGTTATGAATCGTAATGTAAATATCTGATCTGCAGGATGTATTTTCATTCACTAGACCACATTTGACACAAATACCCAATACACCCAAATTTGAATACTGGTGGGGTTGGGGGGATTAATTTTGTCATTTGGGAGTTGTAGTTGCTGGGATTTGTAGTTCACCTACAATCAAAGAGCATTCTGAACTCCACCAACAATGGAATTGAACCAGACTTGGCACATAGAACTCCCATGACCAAAGAAAATGCTGAAACAGTTTGGTGGGCATTGACCTTGAGTTTGGGAGTTGTAGTTCACCTACATCCAGAGAGCACTGTGGACTCAAACAATGATCATCTGGACCAAACTTGGCATGAACACTCAATATGTTCAAATGTGAACTCTGGTGGAGTTTGGGGGAAAATAGACCTTGACATTTGGGAGTTGTAGTTGCTGGGATTTATAGTTCACCTACAATCAAAGAGCATTCTGAACCCCATCAACGATACAATTGGGCCAAGCTTCCCACACAGAACCCCCATGACCAACAGAAAACGTATATTTTTACGGTCTTCAGCGACCCCTCTGACACCCCCTCGTGACCCCCCCAGGGGTCCCGACCCCCAGGTTGAGAAACACTGATCTAGACACTATGCTCCTATTGATGCAGGCCAAAATCCCATTGGCTTTTTTTGCCGCCACATCACATTGTTGGCTCATGTTTAACTTGTTGTCCACAACGACTCCAAGATCTTTTTCTATATCTTTGCATTTCGTTTTTCCTGCCAAAGTGGAGTATCTTGCATTTGTCACTGTTAAACTTCATTTTCACCCATCATAATTGGTTTGTTCCATCCCTTTCCTCCCATTTATCCCATAGCCCCCAAACCTCCCTTCCCCCCGGCTTCTGATTCCCACCCTTGAACCAAGGAAGGAATGGATGAGTGAGTTCTACTCGCCTTCATCCAGATAACTCACTGGGGATGATCTTCCCTGTTCCCCTCCAGGACTGTTTAGACCCCCCCCCCCCTCAAATTGAAATAAATGGAATAAATTATATCAATTATAATTCTGCCCTTAAGTGGCAATCAGTTGTCAAGTGTTCCTAATGTAGGGTCAAATAGGCCTCATACGGATGATAATAGCAGCAATGATAAATGATGATAATAGCAGCAAAAACAATGCAATATTATTTAGTATTTAATAAATAATAACAATTTAAGGAAATAATATTTAGTTTTTAACAAATAATAAAAGTGAAAGGTGATGATAATAATAATTTAAAATAATATTATTTAGTTTTTGATAATTTAATAAGATTTTATTTAGTATTTAAGAAATGATTATGATAATTTAATAAAAGACTATTTAGTATTTAATACATAGGATGATAATTGTAACAATAACTTAATACAGTATTAATTATTTTTCAATAAATAATAATTGAATGCAATAATATTATTCAGTATTTAATGACAATGATAAGCTAATAAAATAACATTTAGTATTTAAGAAATGATGATAATTTAATAAAATGTTATTAATAATAATGATAAAATATTGTTAGCATTTAATAAATAACAATAGTAACAATAACTTAACACAATAATATTATTTACTGTTTGATGATGATGATAAACATAATCATAAACATAATGCTGATGATAATAAACATAATCCTCACCGACGCAGCCTTGCCGGTCTGGCGTGGCCTGAAAGCCAGAGTCGCAGGAGCACTGATAGGCGCCGATGACGTTGACGCAATGGCCATTCCGGCAGAGGTTGTCGCTGAGGGCGCACTCGTTGATGTCTGCAAGCAGAGCCACCATGACATTAGCAGCAAGACAGGCCAGGGCCAACCTACTTTCATGTCTATAGATGGACAAACTCAAAGAGATGGCCAACGGTTCAAGGCAGCAAGGGACATCCCTACAAAGGGATGGAGGAAGCTCGCCTCTGCTCCAAAGGCCAGGATGCAATGCTATGGGACACTGGGGTTTGGTGAGGCATCCAGAGATGGCTCAAGGCCTTGCCAAACTACAAGTCCCATGACTCCACAGCATTGAATCAAGGCAGCTCAAGTGGATCCATCCTGCAGCAGAGATGCACCCCAAGGTTTTCTTTTCTGTTTTTGGAAGCTTTGGTGCAAAAACACTTTAGCTTTTAAGGATGTTTTCTCTCACATTTGCTTTCCTGAGTGGAAAGAAGGAGAAGAAAAAAGGAGGAGGTGGAGGAATAAGAAAAGAGGAAGCAATGCCTTACAGCTCATGAAACATTTTGGGCCTCATTGGTTGCAGTTTATCACAATTGATCTCATGGATAATAGATTTATGAATCACAGTGGATCACAATCAGTCTAATAGATTGTAGTGGATCACAGTGTATCTTGTGTACCATAGTGTAATGGGTAGGATCTCGTGGACCACATGGATTGCAAATGGATCATATGGATTGTAGTGGATCTAGTGGATCATGGTGGAACACAGTGGATTGTGGTGGAACACAGCAGATCATATGGACTGAAGTGGAACATGGGTCATAGAAGAACACAGTTGATCGTATGGATTGCAACAGATCACATGGATTGTAATGGATTACAGTGGAACTAATAGATTGCAATTGGTCACTTGGATCATAGTGGATCACAGTGGATCTCATGTGTGGCAGTGGATCTCATGTACGATTGTGGATCTAATGGATGTATGGGTTGCTTACCTGTAACCATGTTTCTCTGAGTGGTCACACATGGTAATTCCTGCACTTGTGCAGGCAGATTCAGAATCTTCTAGAGACAATTTCTGACACTTTTAGGCGGTAACCCCGCCCACTCTCCCCATATAGTATATATAGCCAGTGAGAGGGACTACTGCCTCAGTTCTTCCTCCGCAAGTAGCAGCCAAAAGACCTGAGGCATGACAACAGTGGGGAGAATGGGTGAGGATGTGCGAATTCACAGGTGACCACTTGGAAAAACACAGTTACAGGTAAGCAACCCATACTTCTCCCTCATGGTCAACTGTGAATCACACATATGGTAGACCAGCGAGCTACTAACCTTGGCTGGTGGGCATCATGCCACCACAGAAAAGAGGACTGCCCGTCCAAAGGCTGCGTCTCTTTTGGAGGAAGTATCCAGCTTATAATGAACCACGAAAGTCTATGGTGTGGTCCAAGTTGCTGCTCAGCATACAACATCTAATGGGATGCCCCCCAGGAAGGCCGTAGATGTAGCAACCGACCTTGTCGAGTGAGCCTTGACTTGTGAAGGTGGATTCCGGCCAACCAGTCAGTATGCTGATCAGATTATCAAAACAATCCAAGAGGACAGACGTTGCGAAGACTTCAGAAGGCCACTGGCATTCTTTCGGTACTTCAGAAACAATCTAGGGGATTTCCTAATCTATAAATACTACCTTAAGCAGAAAAGCAATGTCAGTGCAGAGTACCTTATCCTTATGAAAATGCATATAAAGGTAATCCGAGCTAAGAGCACAGAGCTCACTAGCCCAACGAGCCGAAGTAATGGCCACTAAGAAGGCAGTTTTCCAGGAAAGATAGGACATTTCTGTAGAGGCTAAGGGTTCAAAGGGGAGCTTGGTCAAAGTGGAAAGCATGATTTCTAAACTCCAGGCTGGAATAACTGGGGCTACCAAAGGCTTAACATTTCTGAAACCTTTGGGAAAAAGAGATATCAATGGATCTGAGAAGCAAGAGGACAAACCAGCCTTTCTTCTGTACCAGGAGATAGTAGCTAGGTAACACTTCAAGGAGGACAGAGATAGACCAGCTTCTGAAAAAGACATCAAGAAATCTAGGACTAAGGATGTAGGGGTCTTCAAGGGATCCAAGCCCTTTTGGTTCACAAACTTAGAAAAACCATTTATACACATAGGACCACCTTGTAGAAGCCCTATGGGCAGCTTCTACTATAGCCCTGACAGGCTCAGACAAAGAAGACAGGGTAACTATTGCGCCAGGCCATCAACTTCAATTTGTGAGCATCTGGGTAAAGTACCTGGTCACCCTGCAAGAGGAGATCCACCCTGTTCTGGAACCGCCTGAATACGCCCCCTGACATCTCCAGGAGAGAGAACCATGGCTGCCGTGGCCACCATGGGGCAATCAAGATACCTCTGGCTCTGTCCCAGCAAAGTTTGGATATTACCCTTAGGAGAAGAGGGAAGGGAGAAACGTGTAAAGGGGGTACATGCCCCAGTGAAGGAGGAATGCATCCCCCAGGCACCCTAGTGCCAGATTCTGCTTCATGTGGGCACAGAAGAGATGGCATTTGGTGTTCTCCAGACTGGCAAAGAGATCCAGCTCCTGAAAGCCCCATGCCTGAAAAAGCAGGAGGGACTCCTCCCAGTTCAATGACCACTCGTGGTGGGCAACAGGGGTTCTGCTGAGGGAGT